ATGAGAAGATTATAGGAGACGCTCCTTATCTGACTGCAAAAAGTGGCATGTTGTGTTTGTTGCTTGCTATTTGTAGTTGGGTACAAGGTAGATGGGCGAACAACATGTACTATGTCTCAGTGGTGGGAGCTGTCGTCTAATCTGTCAAATTCAAAATAATGTTCCACATATCAATGGAGCTTTTCGATTTTTGCTGGCAATGAAATACACTAGTGAAAAAAATTATCGAGTGGCTGTATCTTTGGTAAAAATATGGTCGTACGTGAAAAAAAAAGCAATTTGAAGCTTGAAGTGTTTAGTTTATGGATTTTGCGATAAAAAAATTCCAACCAACAATTAGCACAAAATCCTGATGAATATCATGGATAGAAAATTTTTAAAAAAAAGTTTTTTTTTTAATTTTTAGTGTACTGACTTGAAAAAAATTTTCTCGACATAACCACTATATGCATTGCTTAGGTGGTTCAGTAAACTTCAATTAATTTTTTTGATGGCCTCGAAATGACCCTTCCTTGCTGAGTTATCAGAAAATGAACGAAAATGCGTAATTTCCTCTTCTCTCGTCAATATCTCAGGAACCAATGGCCACTCATAAAATGGAAAGGGGGTTTTGGAAACTTCGATTCATTTTCTACAAGGTTCTGGTATGTTCCTTCATGAGAAAAAATTTTTCACGCATGCAAAATTACTATATTGAAGGTATAGGTCACGCAGGAAAAAAATCTGCTTTCACTCATGTAATATGTAAACGAAAGTACCTACTGAAATATGACATTACGTTAAGTTAAATAAGTAATAGTCGGACAAACTAAGTTGAAGAACTGAAAAAGAAAGCAATGAGTGCAATCGTATGTTATAATATTCATTACCCAATGGGTAATATTAGGTAGCTACGAGATTTGTTCAATTATAGAAAACCTTTGAAACAAATATAACAATTTAGACGACGTTTTTCTAGATTAGTATCTTTTTTCGACGACCTCTACATACATTAAATTCCGTATTGTTTTTTAAACGGCCAAAGCAAGCAATTTCGTATGCATCCGTACGAATATACGAGGGTGTATCAAATATAAACGGGATTTCTTTTGTAAAAATTTTCAGCTTTATTTAAATAAGTTTTCAAACATACATTATTTTTCTACATACATTCCCCCCCTAATATATTTTTCCCATCGGATTGGTAGCTTTTTATCCCAGCATCGTAGAAACTCTTCGGACGTTCGTGTAGCCATTGGAACACAAATGCTTTTACTGCTTCGTTATCGTTGAAACGCTGGCCTACAAGCGATTTTTTGAGGGGTCCAAAACGATGGAATTCACAAGAGGAAAGGTCTGGACTATAGTGAGGATGTTCCAGTATTTCCCATTCAAATGTTTCCATGCAAAAAGAATGACATTTTTGACCAATTGCTTTTTTCCTTTTTCTTAGAAATTACAATTTTGCGGCTTTCAGTAACTCAGCAATATTATGCATTAATCGTGTAGAAAGTCAACGTGAAAAACACCTAGCCGATCAAAAAACACTGTTGCCATTACCTTTCCGGTTGACAATCGCCTTTGCTTTCACGAGTGACCTTTTCAGGCCCTCCAGAAAATTCTTGGTGACCTGCAAACACACGAGTTCTTGACAGAGTATTATCCCCAAACTGTGCCTGCAATCGTAGCAAAATTTCGGTTGGTTTTATGCCCTCCTTTGCCTATAACTTTATTTTAATCCGTTGCTCTAGGAAGACATGCAGTTCTCTCTCGCTAATGGTTTCTTTGCATACCAAAGAGACTTGAGCGAATTTTGATCGGTTTTCTCTCCACCCCAGAGGTAAAGGCTAACTGCTCATCTATTCTTTCCAGATCAATAATCGCTAAGGAATTTTTAATCCAAACAGGTTTAGAAAGAAGAATTCACCGACTTATTGACAATAAATAAACAAATGGTTAGCTCTATTCAGTCATTAGAAGAAGAAAACCTACTATATTCTGCAGGCATAAAAAAACTGAGTCAAAAACTTTACTTTTTGGAACGAGCAGTAGATCTTGACTCGAAGTCTACAATTAATATTCCCTCTCAAACCGTTAATAATGTGCCTAAAATAGCATCAGATACCACGACACCAACAGACGCTCGCAAACCGCAATTATTAATTATAGGCGACTAAAACGCAAGAGGTCTAATATCAATTACTAAGTTAATTACGCAAAAGAAATATGATATTAACTGTCAATGGTCGGAAGGAATATTATTTGAAGATCGTATTAAAGAACATCAAAACTTAATCAAAAAGTGTTCCAACAAGGATGCGGTTATACTTTTTACTGGAGTAAAAAATGCTCTAAAAGGACAACCAATTAGTTCCGCATGTATTCAATCTCTAATGCAATACTCTAATAATACTAACCTGTTTATTTGTGGTCCCCCTCTATAAAGTGGCTGTTTCGTCCTAAATAAAGTAATCCAAGAGTATGATCTTAAATTTCAGGCTGCTATTCGTGAGTTCCACCATTCTTACTGTTTACCATCGAGAGTTATTGCTAAAAACGGTCTACTATATTTTCGTGATAAAGAAGATCTTGTGCAACTCATATCTCAAACGTTAATGAAGGTACATTCACAAGGTACAAACAATTGTTATGAGGTTTTACGTATAAATTATGTGGTTTTTACGGTCAGGTCAAGAAAAAACTCAGAATATATAATGTCAAACTTGAAAAACTCGTCAGCTCTTTTGAAATTCAACGAATTATAAATAAAAATTATTGTAGTGAATAGTCAGTCCATTGGGCGCGTTCAGCCGACGCAACAGTTGAGTTTGGTGACTTGTTGAGTCTTCTGAACGTCTCTGGTTGAGTTTTGATTGGTTTCAACCACTGATCTGTATTATTTTACTGGATAGGATATAGCCCCCTAAAAAACGTTCCGAAAAATTGGCCGATTTGGGCAAATAATATGGCGGACCGGATGTTATTTAACGTAACCTCTATTTCCATTTGTCATTTAATTGTGTCAACAAGCTACGATGAGATGTTTTTATTGTAGAAAACAAAGTAAAAAGAGTATGAAATAAACAATAAACGTTCATTCCTGAAGACACAATATGCTTCACGTTTCCATTTTTATATTTTCTTTCATAAAAATTCAAATCATGGGTGAAATTACCCGAAGGACATCGCCCGCAAAAGGAATAGAAGAAGAATAAGAAGAAAAACTAATCTTGTTGTTTTTTAAATTCTAAAGTTAAACCATGATGAAAAATGTCCATTATGACTTATTATATTTTTAAATGATCTTAATTTGTAACCGAAAATTATTTTATTTATATAACCACTAAAGGTCACAACGTGTATGTGTATTGTCTAACCACTGAACCAACTTATACCGTTCAGGTACTTTTAATAGTTGACTTCCACCTTATCAGAAACATGTTTTCGGTTTTAATCAACTGTTGCGCCGGCTGAACGCGCCCATTATTAACAAAACAAACCGAATAGAAATAATCCTAAACCGTGATAAGCCAGACATATTCTGTGTATCTGAATGATGGTGTTCAGAAGATGAACGTTCTTCTATTAATTTTGGAGGCTACATAATTGGTGACTATTTTTATAGGACTGTTAAGATTCGTGGAGGAACTATTATATATGTTAAACATTCATTGCCAGTCAAGAAAATCAATTCGTAAAAAAATATCTCTGAAGAACATTTTGAATGTAGTGGCATTTCATTTATTTTGAATAATGTAAAGTTTTATTTACTTAATGTTTACAAATCACCTAATGGAGATGTAGAATTGTTTCTAAGCAAACTTTCTAGTGTTTTAAATAAGATCTCAAATCCCAATGATTTAATAGTTTGTGGAGATTTTAATATTAATTTTATAACTGTCATGATAAATTACTATTGTGACGAAAGTCTAATTTATTTTTAGTTTATTTATTTAAAAACACACTATTTACAATTTATTTCAGACGTACTATTTAATTTATATAATACTAACTAACAATTCTAATTTATTTCTTACACTTTAACTTTTCAATACAATGTTCTATATTAAACTCAACTGTCCGATTAAGTCCAACTCCTACCAGAAGTCTCCAGACGGTCGTCTCGAAAATTCTATCTCTGACTCAACGGCACACTTCGCCCATTCTACCCGTTTCTCGAGCCGCAGGCATTCCCAGAACATTCCGTCGCTTCGAGCACGAGTTGGTTGCCTTCTGAAGGCCGCGCTTGCTTTAGGCACAGGGTCAGATTAGGAATTTCATGACACTATTGTCTGATTTTATTGAAAGTTTTAACTTGTATTGTCAAAATATGGAACCCAATAGAGTAGCTATTGACAAAAATGGTCGCATTACTAGATCCAAAATTGATTACTTCCTAATTCTTCATTCTCTTATCGAGAATCAGTTGTGGATTTAAATCTTGGCAATCATTTTGGTCTTTTTATAGTTTTATCATATTCTGCAAGAGCACATTGTGAATGCCAACCTACATAACCTGTCATTCGAATTGGCTAAGGAGGATTTCCAAATAATTTACGAATCACCTAACGATACTGATCAAACTTTTATAAATTTTCTAAATATTATTCTTTATTATTTAAACTTAACATGTCCTAATCAAAAAGTTTTATTTCCAAAAATTGACCATGTATTACATTAAAATTTGATTTTTCTCGAAAACGGTCGACTTTAGAGCTTATGACCAAGAGTACCTTTTTTGTGTAGAAAACATTGGCGGTTCAAATGGGCGTCTCAAAACCGTACTTTTTCCAGTGGCGTATAATATTTTTTTTCAATTTCAACACAAATCTCGAGAATGGTGCATTTTAGAGGGTAAGTTAATAGAAACGTTTTTCATATTTTTGGACGAGCTATCACGTCCTAAAGTCCTGCGCATATATTATGAAACACCCTGTATATCATTACAAGTCTCAATGCATGTAATATTAAGCAATTAAGTAAGACATCTAATATTTTCCCCAAAAAAATAAAAAACAATAATAATTGACATCAAATTCTTTTATTAGAACATCACAACACCTATAAATGCAATGAAATAAATTGAAAGCTGTGTTAGATCTCCAATAACTTCAATAAAAATAATACATTAAACATTTTTATAGGATCTAAAAATAACGAAAAAAATTTTACTTTCTCACAAAATGACTATTGGTTGATTCTTGGTACAGACGTTTTTAGGCTATACATTTAGGAATAAAAAATTTGATTCGCCCATTTTTGGTTTATCTAACACGAATCAAATTTTCTAGAAACAAATGTAAGACTAAATTCGTTTTTATATTCCCTAAGGCAATCTGAGTTTACTCTATTTCTAAAAGTTCTACATCGAAAATAAGTGTTGAGTTTGGAGGTATGATTCCTGGATGTCCTCTAGCCCCATAAGCATAATCTGGAGAACAAGTTAACTTAGCTCTTTGTCCAATACTCAACTGAAACAGAAAATAAGATTGATTAAAGTATTCTTACAAAGTATATCTCAATTAATATGTATTTAGAATATCAGAAAAACCCTGTTTTCAGCATTCTGTAAACCCAAAGGTTTCTAAGAGCGCAAGGATAAAATAAAACATCATTTGAAATAAAAGGACGCTGCAATTTTCCCTATTAAAGAAGTGGTATTCTGTAAAAATTTATATTGTAATACTCAAACTGTTGTAACCTTAAATTCAATAAATATAATTTTGTATTTGGTTATCTTGCCCAGAAAAAGAAATTATTAAATAAAATAAGTGTTTATATTCAATATTTATTTTTTTGCTAGTTGAGATGTTTAGTTTTTTTTTTGTAAGATTTCACATGGATTCTTTTAGACATCAGCCTTATTTTTAATAAAAATACTCTATTATACAAAACAGGTTAGCTGGTTGAGATGTTTACAAACTTTTGTTTGCAAAATAATGTTTCTACACTTTTTATATTTTCTGAAATTTTGAAATTTATAAATCTATTAGTTTGGAAATAGTGACGAAACAAAGGCTCCAAAAACAACTTTAAACAAATATGAATTCAACTTTGATACTCTCTATCTTTAACAGCAAAATGTACTGCTTGTTTATTTATTTTTATTGTGTTTCTGACCAATTTTACAAGACAAGATTTGAATACATGTTTCATACGCTTGAATATTTCTTAAATGAATAGCTTGTTCCATCTCTTTTAAGAGCATTTTCATTATGAATCAAACTTGAATAATAAATTATCTGACATCATTTGGACACACTACATTTTTTCAAGACCTCTGACAACATCTTACCAAATAAAAAGTGACACATGGAGATTTTAAAAGCTATTTATAATAATAAAGAATACTAACTTGAGCAACCCCTTCATCCCATCCTTTGATTACTTCTCCCTTGCCAATTCGAAACTTAAATGGACTTCCCCTATCTCTTGATGAATCAAATTTTTGTCCATCTTGTAAGGTACCCGTATAGTGAACAACAACAGTTTGTCCAGTCTTAGGGAAAGTTCGGCCTATAAAAATAAAATATATTGACATTTATTATTTATTTATACTCTTGAACATGTTATTCAACTAATTATATAGAATGGAAGAAGTCTGGAAATGGAAAATTATTGAGAACAGGTTTTATTAAAGATATTTAAATTTGGAACACTTTATAAAATCATGCATTAAAGAATATTTCAAATGAACTTCAAATTCATCACCTCCCCTGACATGGGCATGCTGTGGGAGGTCACTAAAAATTATTTTTAATCCCTAGAATTATTTTTAATCCCTAAGGAGTAAAAGTGCCATTAAATATATTTTACTTTTAATCCCTAGGAAGAAAATAGTGCAATTTTAGTCACTGAAAATAGAGACTAAAAGAACATAAAATTAATTGTATGTCATTATTCATTTGAACAATATATGAAACGTACAATAGTGATGCCTAAAAGTCTATATGCTTGGTTTTTCTTAATAAAAAACGGATCAAACTAGAAACAGATCTTTTTTTTAAATGTAAGTACCTATTCCTCTCCCCAATTTCAAAATTGTATTTTAAAAAATATAGGGGTGAGCTATGACTAAAAGGATTATAAAATTAAAAACATTTCACTGTTAATCTAAAGAAATAGGCAGGTCAGATACTGGAAATTTAAGACTGAAGTAGCTCATCAAGGTCAAGTCTGGTTGTTTGCCGGATTAAATACTAAAGAAGTATTGATTAGGAAGAATATTTATCATAGGGTATTTCTAACCTACATATTTTATATTTGAAACAAATTACTTGATACAAATTCGAATCTATTTCATAAACTATTATTAAATTTAAATAAGACACAAATTGTACATACCATCGCCTGCGGAAAGTGTTTCAACCTGCACTCCCATAATTGCTGCAAGATAGTAAGAATAATAGAAAAATATTAAAAATTTATCAAATATGAATTAGTAAACAATTTACCTTTGGAAGATTTGATTGTTATGTACAAAAAATAAAGGGAGAATTAAATTCTCAGTCCTAATTAAAATTAGATCAAATGTTCCAAAAATTTACAAATGGCGACAAGACAGGACAGTAGACAGCACGCTTGATTTACGGCCACAGAACACGATTTACCACAAAACCAGTGTTGCCAATACCCAAACTTAAAATTATACGGTAGCTGGGTTCAAGAGATACGCTTTTTATAGGCCTTTGTAGATTTACCCATAGAACATGGATTTACCTTTGTAGCAACATCTTTGCATTTGAAGATATCAAATTTGTGTTGCTGCCAGGTTCGGCTTTAGGTTTGTGAGACAAAATAAATGTAGCGATGCAGATTTAATGCATTTCAACAATACGAACAACATTGGCTTGGTGAATCCCTGGCTCCGAGCCTGTTTTCATTGGTCAATGACATGAAGTGTGGCTTTCTCTAAAATACTAGGTGCCAGTCAGCCACTGTTTAATAAAAGTAGTGCAGAAGACACACTGAAACAACTATTTGTTGTTCAAATAAATTCAGAAGTGTCTAAACTTATTTTTAAAATAAATGGAAATCCAAAAAGATCCATAGTGTTTCCCAGAATTTACGGAAATTATACAGAATTTCAAAGAGAAACAGATACGCTGGCAAGTCAGAATATACGAAAATCGTATAATTATACGCAAATCGGCAACACTGCACAAAACACATTTTTACGACAAGACAAATACCCAGCAGATGTCACTCTCATCTCAAACAGCGTGAGTTGTGAGTTCGGTAATTTTGACTCTAAACGTACAGTTTAGTTTTTCATTTTCACATTTCCAAAAGCATTCTTTAGTCTTTGGATCTTTAATAGATTATTTTAAAAAATAATACTATAGTACGCCAGTGGAAAACGTGTTTTTGTGATTTATTTGAAAATAATTAAAATTCTTAGGAGAATTTGAGCTCGTGATTAGACGAGGGGAAACAACAAAACCATTCTCAGAAGGTGTGTAATGAAAGGTAATCAAAACACCGATCACAGCCACGATCTGGATGGGTGACGGAACTCGTATTGGTTTGTGTATGAAAACCTCCAACAGCTTCCATAAGTCCCCATAAATTAAGCATTGACGTTATTTGATATAAAATAGGTCTTTTCCTTTGCATCGAAAGTGTAGCGCTGAGCTACGTCACTTCTGAAAATATCGTTCTATCCATACAATTTGTATAAACGGAACGATATTTTCAGAAGTGGTGTAGAAGGAAAAGACCTATTATAAATTGAACTCTTTGTTGAACAAAAGAACGTACCTATATGTAGTGTACTTGTTTTTTTTTTAATCAAAGGTTGCCGGGTTGCCGCATCGCTGTCTTCTGTCAGTTAGTTGTCATTTCCATTCTCGTGTTCACCATTTTTTCCGCGTTTGTTGTTAAAATCTAAACAAACTTTCATTCTTAGAAATACCATTACTCTTATCTTTTTTAAATTTATTAGAGGTATTATTTTCGTACAACAGTTAGGTAGTAGTATTTAAGAATTATATTTTTTTTTAGAAAATGTCTTCAGGAGGTGGTGATTCGGAAGGCGGATATATTGCTAAGCTGCGTGGCTTGCCTTGGTCGGCTACTCCAGATGACGTCTTGAATTTTTTTGATAATTGCAATGTCCTAGATGGAAAATCTGGAATTCACATGACTTCTTCGAGAGAAGGAAGGCCTAGCGGAGAAGCTTTTGTAGAATTTGAATGTGCCGAGGATTTAGAAACTGCCGTGCAGAAAGATAGAGAACATATTGGAAATAGATATATTGAAGGTAATAGGATAACTGAGGATCTTCTAAGTTTATAATATCTACATTATTATACATTAAAAAAAATTACAAAATAATATTAACTTTATAAAAATCTCATTTACTGATCTAAGTTTGTTTTCACCTGTATGTGCAGATAGGTAATATAGTAAACCTTTTAAGAAAATGAAACTACAAGATTACCCAATTTATTAACACATTTACTCAAAACTTTTGTTATTTTTGAGCCATTTTAACTGGGAGAAATAATTGAGATGCAAGATCATATTTCTTCGAAATATAGTGGCTGCAAGTATAGGGTAGTAATGCATTGTGACCTCTTAAGATCTATTGTGCTCCTACTGTTGCTAATGTACAAAATATATGATTATTTATTTATGCCTATTTCAGTTTTTAAAGTAAATAAAGCCGAAATGGAATGGGTTATAAAAAGATCTGGACCATCATACGGCTTGAATGAAGATGGATGTGTAAGACTAAGAGGTTTACCCTTTGGTTGTTCAAAAGAAGAAATCGCACAATTCTTTACAGGTACATTTTGAGTTGATTACCAATATTTTTTTAAATAATTTGCAAGTCAAATTAACTTTTCAATTAAAGTGATTTGGTTTTAATTAAAAAAATATTAATTCATTTATTATTATTTATTGTGCATTTCATTTTACATATCAAATTCAGTTTTTAAATCTTAAATCTACTTCATGTGTTTATCGGGGATTGAACCCATGTCACAATATTCAAAGTTGATAAAGTTAAACACTTTTTATGCTCTGGATGATGAAGTCTTATGTCAATTGAATTATCTAATCAAATATGTTTATTAACCAGAACAAAAATAATGTAATTACTTTTAAATTATTTTAATAATAAAAATAAATATCCGAGATTTAGGTATATAAAAAATCAAAATAGAAATGGTGGGTCTGACATATTTGACAGCTAAATATGCATATTCACACATGGGTGGAAAGTAAATTGATATCCACAGGGATCATAAAATTAAACAGTGCAATGTGTGGTTGTGTGACATAATTACTAAGTGACAATAGAACTTCAGATTTTAGTGGCGTCCTCTTTTTAACTGAATTCCATTGTCTAAAAAAGTAGAGGGATCAAAGGGGTGCAGAACCCTTCTAAAAACCTATAGACTTAAAACAATTTTGAATCCCACTGACTTAATTTTATTGGTCACCTGTATACTAACATCTCATGTACAATTTCATAAAAATATGTAAAGTGGTTTTAGAGTAAGAGCAAAAAATAACTTCTAAAATTTCTACTTTAACATCCTGTGGCTAAATTGATTGTACATCTTTTTGTTACATGCTTCTGATTCATAATAAAATGTTAACTTTCTAAGCTGTGTTTAGTCATTTGCTTTACAATAGATTTACAACATGGCCCATTTTTAGTAATTTTTGTTTTGATCTGTATCTTTGTCAATTATATGAATGGGTAACTTTTCTATAGCAAGTAATTAAGACATCCCTCCTCTTTAGGTATTAGTCCCTGCTTTTCCAGTAAAACTAAGGAATTTTAAATAAGTTGGTTATGGTTACATCTAGAGACACTTAAGATGTGAATACAATAAATTATTAGTTGTTTAGAATTAAGATTCAAAATTTAAGAATCTTTAATAATATTCTAAGAACAACTTTTAAACAAATAATTATAAGATTTGGAACAAACCAAAATAACCAAATTATTTCATTGATTTATATCAAAATTCCTTTGTTGTTCCTATAGAAGCACAAATCAGCTTATGATAGTTCATGATTCGTGATTTTTATGTCACAAAAAAATACTTTATTTCATTGGGTTTTATTGATTTACATTGGATTAAAAATGACACAATCAAAACTTGACAGGTACAGTTTTAAGATTTAACAGATTTTTTTCCAATGAATTTATTGAAAACTGAAAACAATTCTGATATGTGAAATGAAAGCAGTAAACACATTGTTGTACTCAATTCCCAATATTTAAAAAAAAAAGGAACAAAACATTCTAAAAAGGGTTACATCAAGAAAAATATAATTAATATAAATAAATGGTTGTAGGTAGTCTATGGTGTGACCCATATATTATTACTCCTTGCTATTTTAATAATATGATATACATATTTTTGAGGTATCTTATTTACAATTATTTTCAATTTTTTTTATATTTAATGTCTGTCATCTGTCTTCCAAAAAAAGATCTTTAAAAATTAATAATCATGGGAAAATAATATCATAGATATATTATTAATAGTTATTGCTCCAGTTATAAACAAATTATAATAATATCTATAATTGAAAAGTCATGAAATCAACATGTTTTTCTTCAAAATTTTGATTATATTTAACAACACTTTAGATACTCAAAAGAAATAAAGTATTGTTTATTTATTTTGGGTATTTTGTTCTTTTTATCAAAATAACTTGTTAAATCATTAAGACAGTAATTTTCTTTATCTTCATATCATTCCTAACAGTACTGCTGTTTTCCTTGATCTGTCTCTATTACTTCAAACCTTTCACTCTTTTCATTTAACTTTTGTACTACATTTTTATAGTTAATTTCATTTAATACTACTATATGAATTTTGCATGTTCTATACAAGTGAAAAATTTGTTTTTGCCCCTGATGGTTTAGAAATTTATATTTCTAAATTTTCACATTTTTCATAGATTTCGAATCATACTGACACTTTTTCATATCCCTTCAATTATTAATCTAGGGTGTACCATGCTCAACGGGATAGTGCCTGGTGGGTAACTACAAAATATATTAAAAATTCCTTTGGCCCTAAGTTGGAATCATATGGAAAATATTTTTTATTATTAATTTTAGGAAAAAAAGTTATTCTCCATAAAAAGTTCTGCATTATCTAAAACCTAGAATACAGTCATCAAATATAAAATTTTTTGAGTGGTATACGAGGTTTGTCAAAAAATGTGAATTTTTATCAAGAGTACATTTATTTTTGACAAAATCGAAAATTTTCATTAAGAAAAGTTGATTAGAATTGAAAATTATATTCAAATAGGCAATTACACCAATCTATCTGAAAAAAGAGATTTTCTTATTTTTTTATAAACTTTTCTACACATTGATTGTAAATATCTGAAAACGTTATAAATTACGTTAGCACAGATACGCTTTCCTTTTCTTGATGTTTGTGAAGAATTTAGCAATTTTCTTAATGATAATTTTCGATTTTTTCAAAAATTAACGTATACTTTACTCTTGAGCAAAATTCATATTTTTTGACAAACCTCGTATACGGCTTGAAAAATTTGATATCTGATGACTGTATTTTAAGTTTTGCATCATGCAGAACTTTCTATGAAGAATAACTTTTTTTTTCCTAACATTAATAATAAAAAGTTTTCCATTATGATTCCAACTTAGAGGGACATACTGTATAATTCAGTGGCGGCTACAATTTAAAATTAGTTTCATATATACAAGATGTCCCAAATCAGAATACCAATATAAAGTTACATTTTTCTTAGTATTTTAATTTTAAGTTCCACTCTTAAAAATAATCTTAGTTTAATAAAGATTCCCTATACCAACCTTTGAAATTTGTCTATTTTTTTGTTATTTTTTTGAAAATTGTGAATTTAATATATTGTAGATCGCAAATCGAAATCTGAAAGGTCAGAATTATCTGAAATAAGTTGTAGAATAATTTGAAAATTAGGAAACAAATCTCAAAAATTCCCCTATGAAATATTAAGACCACCCTCGAACCCCAAAAGGTGAAAACACATACTTGGAGATTCGAAAAAAAGACTATCATCGCTAGGATTCGAACCCAGACATCTTTGTACACAAATGCCCTTACAGCTAGACCATGACGACATTGACTGTCCAGATTCCTAGACGGCAATTTTATGTGCTAATTCAGGACAAGCGCCATTTTATGCTCGTTCTTAAATTTCAAATACCTCTATATAGGTTTGGTATATACCGGGTGTACCAATAAAAACTCCCAGGTCGGATATTTTGTTAAGTAATAGAGATATTTTAATTCTGTACAAGCCAGTTCACAGAGCACTAAGAGAGCTTCAGTTCTAGATATAAATTGATTTTAAATAGGTCAATATGTAGATGGCGTTGTGTTCAATAATTTATTTTTAAGCAGATTTTCTTCTATGAACTAATTCAATAAATCTAGTAATTGATATACAGAGTGGGTCACTCAAAACAGTTTCATCCTGTTTTTCAGCATTAATAATTGGATTTTAAGAAAATGCTAAAACAGGACGATTTTTATTTCAAATTAAAAACATTTTTACAATACAGACATCTGTCATGTGTCAACCCCCTCCCTTGCACTTCTCCAACACCTTAATTTTAATAGGTAATGTACCATGTATGGCACATCATTGAAAAGGTAATTTAATGAGGGATTCAGAAATATTTCTGTACATTCCGTTACTTAAATTTTATCGCCCTCTAGTACGTATTATTGAGTGTTACACTACAATGTGTAGTACATCATTAAAAAGGTAATTTTATGGGGAATTTAGAAATATGAATGTTCATTGCGATTCTTTTAATTGTACCGCCCTCTATCGGGATAAAAAACTACGTAATATAAAGTTTGACACCTTATTTGAAAGCAAATTTAATTACTAATTCAATGCACCACATAATATTAATATAAATATCCATATTGCACTTGCAATAGTTTGAAAATTAGCCATGCATTATTTTAAACATTATTGCTAACTTTATTTTGTTACAAGTGCAATATGGAAATATTTATATTAATGTTATGTGGTGCATTGAATTAGTAATTAAATTAGCTTTCAAATGAAGTGTCACACTTTATAATACGTTACAGGTTTTTTATTCCAATAGAGGGCGCTAAAATTAAAAGTATCGCAATATTTGGGACTTCCCCATAAAATTACCTTTTCAATGATGTGCCATACATGGGACATTCCTTTTTTAAAATTAAGGGGTTGGAGAAGTGGAAGGGAGGGGTTGACAGATGACATGACAGATGTCGACCTGTTTTAGGATTTTCTAAAAATCCAATGATTAATGCCGAAAAACAAGATGAAACTGTTTTGAGTGACCCACTCTGTATATCAAAAATGGCAAGATTTATCGAATTAGTTTATAGAACAAAATCTGCTTAAAAATGCATTTTTTACCAGATGTGCCATATAAGAAAAGTCGTCCCACCGAAAAAACATATTGAGCGCAGCGCCATCTACATATTGACCTATTTAAAATTAATTTATATCTAAAACTGAAGCTATCTTAGCGTTCTATGAACTGGCTTTTACAAAATTAATATATCTATTACTTATCCAAATATCCGGCCTGGGAGTTTTTATTGGTACACCCTACCCTGTATGAGAAATGCATTGATGCATACTGAGCCCATATCTCACGCAGACGAAGATATGGGCTTATAAAGGGTGTTCCAATAAGAGATTTGTAATGTTTTTATTAAATAAAATGAGAACAAAATAAGAAAAAAATTAAAACTTTATAGCAATAGGTAACATAATCGTATACAATTATATATGAAACACAATATCGGGCAAATGATTACCGCGACTTCTCTGGCAGGACACAAATCTTTTGTCAACATTTTTGATCACAGCTGAACACATTTTTGGTGATTTTTAACATTTGCTTTACTTTTGATGTAACCCCATAAAAAAATCTAGCGGCGTTAGATCGTAGGATCTCGGCGGCCAGTTAACATCTCTATTTCTTAAAAGAAATCTACCTTGTGCAATAAGTTCATTGTTTCTGTTGATGTGTGAGATATTGCACCGTCTTATTGGAAAAGTTTATTGTCAAGAGCCATATTGATTATTTCAGGCAATAAAAAGTGTCAAAATATCGTGCGGTAACGCTCACGTGAAGAAAACACCAGAAATATACTCAGCTGTTTGATTGCTTGATATTATGTTTCACATATGATTGTACACAATTATGTTACCTATTGCTAAAAAGTTTAATTTTTTTTCTTATTTTGTTTTATTTTATTTATTTAAAACATTAGAAACCTCATTGGAACACCCTTTAGAAACTTATAGGACTTTTATAAAGTAAATAAAATTTCCTTCATATTGCTACCATACAATACAAGGTGTTCCATTTAAATTAACGTATTAAATAAAACATTTTTCTTTAATAAAACTTCAAATAGTACATTTTTAGAATATTTTAATGATTCTGAAAAAAGTTAAAACATTCTGTAAAAAACTGCCAAAAATTCGTTAATTATTTTGTAATCAAGAGTAATAAATTAATTTCGACAGAATTACATTTCAAAAAATGTCAAATAAATCGGAAACTATCAAAGATAGGTATAGGAAATATTTTTTAAACTAAAATTATTTTTAAGAGTAGAACTTGAAATTAAAAGAAAATATAGGATGTACTATTTAAAAAAATATTACTTTATATTGGTATTCTGTTTTGGGACACCCTGTATATATCGTCGCCTCAGAGCAACGGTAGGACATCTCAAAAAAACTTGTTTTGAGATGCAAATAATGATTTGACGAAAATTAAGTTTTTGCTTTGCTATTTTTGAATGAATTTGAATAAAATTTTAGTTTGTTTCATAGCTCCTCTTTAAGCTTCATATGAATGCATAAACAAATAAAAAAAATCATTATAAATAATTGAAAAAAAGTTACTTGTCCTAGTGTTGCATTAAAAATATCTCTGTATTTTGTGTACCACTAAATATGTTTACAATTATGTTATAATTTTTGTCAATGCAAAAATAACTCATTTTTCTGTTAAAAGTTTTTATTAATAAAATTATTTATTAAATATCTTCAACAAAAATTTAAAAAAAAATTAAAACAACGAATCTTGCAAAAAACTTGGAAAAAAGTTAAAATTGAAACTAGTAATTAAAAAAGTGTTAATCAGAATCATCGTAAGTACCAGCGGATGCTGACAATGATTTAAAAAAATTATGATGCTTTTGTGGAATTAAATTTTCATTGCACAAACTAATTAAGTATTAAAGGGAAGTAAAAGGCTCAAAGTCTGTCGACCACATAAATTTATTCGGTTGGGTTGCAAGCGCTTTCGACCTAAAAGGTCATCATCAGGCAAAAATTTTTTGAAAGTGAGTAGGTAGGTAGGTACAATCTGCAATAATAATTTAGGATAACAAAACGTTTTTTTTATAGAAATGCTAGGTGTCTTACCACTATGTGTCCACAGAAAAAATTAAATGTTGAATTAAAATTTTTAAATTGTAAAAATAAAAATTATACAAATTGGCACGTACTGCCTCCCTCATTCGAGGTTGGATATTGTTTACTCTTGAACCTCGCCTGCCTCCATCTAATGAAGGTGGAGGCAGGCGAGGTTCAAGAGTAAACAATATCCAACCTCGAATGAGGGAGGCAGTACGTGCCAATTTGTATAATTTTTATTTTTACAATTTAAAATTTTAATTCAACATTTAATTTTTTCTGTGGACACATAGTGGTAAGACACCTAGCATTTCTATAAAAAAAATAAAAAAAAAACGTTTTGTTATCCTAAATTATTATTGCAGATTGTACCTACCTACCTACTCACTTTCAAAAAATGTTTGCCTGATGATGACCTTTTAGGTCGAAAGCGCTTGCAACCCAACCGAATAAATTTATGTGGTCGACAGACTTTGAGCCTTTTACTTCCCTTTAATCTACTTCGGACCACTTTGAGATATGGATAATATTTGGAATTTTAATTAAGTATTTTTTTATTAATGGGAATTGGAGGTGCTCTGTCGTAAGCCGGAATTAAAGTTACATTATTTCCTCAATTGGACCTTGTAATTTTTTTTAATATACGAGGGTGGATCAAAAAGTACCCGTGTTAGAAAGGAAGAGGTAAGTTTTCCAAAAAAAAATTATTTCTATTTTTCAACGTAATCTCCTTTTAGTGCTATACACTTTTCCCAACGTTTCTGCCATTTATTTAACCCCTCCAAAAAATGTGATTTCTCGAACTCCGCAAAATACGCTTTAGTCTCGACGATAACCTCCTCGTTAGAGCTGAATTTTTCCCCCGAGCCACGTTTTCATGTTGGGGAATAGAAAAAAGTCGCATGGAGCCAAGTCGGGCTTGTTAGAAAGGGGGTACTTCAGGGGTGGTCCCATATAAATTTGGTCAAAATCTAATAATTGGGCCCATGAGAAAATCCTCAAACTCTTCATTTTTTATGTATGTTTAGCGATAATGCTTTACCACCTTGTCCGATTTATATGATTCTTTTTTGTTAGTAAGGGGGTACCTCAGGGGTGGTCCCATGTAAATTTGGTTAAGATGTGGTGATGGCATCTGCACGTTTTTGAAGTCGATTTTTTTAAATTTTTAATTTCTAATACTTGTTTCAATACAGTATCAATAGAACAGTTAGAAATATTTAAGGTATTTTTAAAGAATAATTTACAAACCCTAACTTTTTGATCATTAACGTTAAAAAAGTGTGCGCACGTAAATGTTTTCTTTTTTTATTGTTTTTCAGGTTTGTTTGGCTTTTTTTCAATGTGACGATATAAAAACTCTCTTTGAAGAGACTTATCAGCAAGCTGGTAATAAGTCTTGCCCACAAATTTCTGCAACCTTCTCTGAGCATTTAAATAAACATGTTTCACCACAAGCTTTTAGTACAGACTTAGCTTTGTGCAGCTTTCCTAGTCTAGAAACATATTCCTTTCCTAGTCTAGAAACATATTCCTTTCCTTAATTAATTTTTTGTTTTTTAAGTTTCTTTTCCAACAGTCCATATTTTTTATTCGCTTTCTTGTTTTTCGACGTTTATTGGTTTCTTGTATTTCTTCCACGTTTTTACTATTATTATTTATGGTTTCTTCAATCTCTATTTCTGCTATTTTATCAATTTCCTCATAATTATTGATCTCATCAATGTTGAGTAGAAAATCTGGATCTTACACATTATCGTCGGCTAAAAAATCACTTGGACTTTTCGTAAAACTCCTAGGGATGCCAATATTTGGGTCATCACTGGTTTTACCTTTTTGGATCTTAAAAATGGGCACCGGCATGAGTTCCGTCAGTTCATTGTTTCTCAGTTCTTCCCCGGAAACGTTTCAGTTTGGTAAACCATATTTTGAACCTGATTTAAACACGATGAAACTGGCGACTCATTCTCTTTATCAAAGTTTTGGTTTTCCAACCACTGTGCAACATATTGATTCTTTTCTAAATTTGAGGTAGACGCTTCAGCGTCACGTTCAATAACTAAAACAATATATTTAAATGAAAAAAATATTATTAAATTTCTACCTTGACAACACCTAATTGTAAACACGTTTGAATAAGATTATATATTTTTTAATACTTTTAAAAATTAAAAACAGTGGCAATATCTCTTGAACCTTAAAAGAGAACTCTTATCCCCATCGACCCTTTACCTTCTGTTTAGTCGACCTACGCACTATAACTTACCTTTCTTTTTTCGTTCAGGACATTATTGCACATAGTAAGTTTTTAAATTGACACCACTATACAACTTCTTATTTTACAGAAGTAAACATTACCGAATCTTCTTCACGTCTAGTATTTACAAGGGAAGTTGAAATTGTAAACAACTGAAGTAAAAGCGCGCTTCAATTAGTAAGATAGCATATAAAAATACGCGTGAAGCTGCCAAAAGTAAATATAAATTTATTTTCGATTTCTTGCTCAATCTGCACATTGTCACTTTTATTATTTGCTAAAAACACTAAATGCTGTGTTCTAGAGGAGACATTTAATTTTTTTTGTATTTAAAACTCTTGATTTATGAATTATTCCTAAGATATTAAGACCTTCATGCTGAAGACCAGGTCAATTCAGCACTCATTTCTATGAAACAATAGGACATGTGTATTATAAATTACTGTGACATTATCATTTGTAGTCAAACAAAAACAATAAATGGAACATTAGGATAATCTGGGTTGTCCTAGTGTTACATTATATAAATTTAATTACAGAAAATTGAGTTAGACAAGCATAAGTAAGTTTCTGAAAAAAATAAAAATATTTTTCACTTAAAAAAAGGGTTTATTACGAATAATTTGACGCTAATATCTCAAAATCTTATTATTTTTTTTTTGATAGCCTATTGTTGCTCTGAGGCGACGATATAAAACTAATTTTATTGAGTTGTATATTTGTGCCAAAGAAATTTTTAATATCGTTTGTAGTTTACCCACCAGGTTCCGTCCCGCTAAGCGTAGCGCACCCAGTATATTGCGTTTATAGAATATTTTTTATTACTGGAGCAATACCTTTTGGTTCAGTTTTCCCACCTCATACTGACATTAAAGGTACTACATGGACATACTGTATATTGTATTTTTTAAATTAGTAATTTTTTATTTGGGATTTATTAAATTAATATGACAGTTGCATTGCATATTTGCGAGTAATCATATGTTATGGAGTTTAAGGGCTTAACCGTTTTGGGTTATGTTTTTTGGGTAGGGTTGGAGATTGTACCCAACGGAATAACTCTACTGACTGACTACTCGGGTCGAAGTTCTGGGGAGGCGTATGTACAGTTTGTTAACAGAGAAGTGGCAGAGAAAGCTCTGCTGAAACATCGAGAAAAAATCGGACACAGGTGGGGTATATCAGCGGGATGGATAGGGAGGTCCTCCTTTTTTCTATTTTTTAAACCTTTTAAAAAGTACTACCAATTTAAAGATGTATGTAATATCAATTTTTTTTTAAAAACTATTTAGCATACCTATATTGTTGAATATATTAATATTCAGAGATGCAAGTACTTGTCACTTTAGTAATTTTTATTTTTCATTTTTATTACCCATGAAAACAATATGAAATAATAAATCCAATACTTTTTATAACTACTTTGTTTTATTTTGAAGGTTTATGATAAATTAATTTATTTATTTATTCACGGGCCTTGTCCACTTTCAGTACAGTTACAAATAAAAACAAAAGAAACCTCAAATAGAGTCAATCTAAATAATATTTCATAATAATGATAAACTAATAAACTAACAACAAAAATCATAAATATATTAACATGTACAAAATCGAAACAACTAATATTAAGACTAGGGAATTTAAGTCTCGGTAAGTTTTAACACCCTCACAAAATTAGAAAAGCTTGAATTAAAAAATTCTAGACTATCAGCACAAGGATTAGCGCTTCGTGAAACTCTAGGCATGAATGAATTAAGGCCAGTATTAGTTCTCACGTAGGGCTGATGAAAACTGTTTATTGATCTTGTGCTTCTAGTTGGGGCTGCCAACAACATGCTTGAAATCAATGTAGGGCATTCAACCATATAATTAATGAGCTTAAAAAATAATTTCAAATTTGCCTGATCTCTTGTTCTCAAAATTGGTAAGGATAATGTCTCTTGCAGTGCGGCATAATCATAGGAATAGTCATCTATCCGTGGAATATTTGATTTAAATGCTAAGCAGCAAAGAAATTTTCTCTGAACCTGTTCTAATCAATGAATGTGACAGGTATACTGGGGGTTTCAGACTGAAGAACATTAATACTTATAAATTCTGATGTGTTTCTCTTTATAAACCCAAGCATACCAAGTGCTCTGGGTACTATTGTGTAAATGTGATTGACAAATGAGAGCGTGGAGTCCATAATAGCACCCAGATCTCGAATGGATGCAACTTGAGACACTGGTGTACCCTTGATATTATATTGATAACCAATCCTGTTGATCTTCCTAGTAAAGGATATCGAGTGACACTTAGTGATATTTAGATCCACAGCATAATTCGCACACCACTAATCAAGCCTAGCCAGATCAGACTGAAGTTTGAGACAATCCTCAAGAGATGAAACTGCTAGGCAGCACTTTAGGTCATCAGCAAAGCATAAAAATTTGGCAAACTTGAAACATTCTGAGATATCATTTGTATCTAATGAAGCTATTATTATATTGTGCTCAAAATATAAATTTTTAATTGATTTTTAAGCACACTTAAAGATTGTATGTAATATTTTAATGCCAAAGTTCATCTATAACGTATGGAGGGTGGGCTATCCCATGGTATTAGGACTCAGTAAAACCATTATGCATCCTCTTAAGTTGATAGACATCTCCACTGAAGTAGGGCTGGGTAGATACGGTCAGGTCCTAGCGATTTAATTAGGTGAGAAGCTACATATTGCCTATTTAATTTTGTCTTCATCTACAGTGAGTTGTATTCTTCTGTTCAGTGTATGATGACTGAGTTAGGGAAAAATGTTGACACCAGAAGTTTGATGATTTCTTTGAGGTTTGCAGTTTTCAAGCAATCCTCTTTGATTAGAACACCAATATGCAGTGTAGATCTCTTGGGAGTGCTGTTTGAATCCTTGCTGCCTGCAGAGAATATTAGATTTCTTCTCTTTCTTTTTGTCTTAACAACTTTTATGTATTCTCTGATGTGATATTTGTAAGTGTCCCACCCAGTCATCTTCTTGTCTTATTAAAAGATTTTTTAGCCATCTTCCTGAGGTTTTCCAACTCATGACAGTCACGGTAGTCGTCTGATTGTATTGGACCAGCCTCAGGGGGCAGATTTTTTTATAGTCATTTATTGTATTTTAGATAGTGTTCGAGTACTTTTTCAAAGCATTGTTTTTGTTTGATGCTTCGACCTCCACCTCTTGGAGAAGGTGAGCATGGGATGCCCGGTCTGTCTTCCTAGGGTTCTAAGAATGTGGAGGTTGGTAACAGCATGTTTGTTTTGAATGTTAACCAGGAGGTGGTCTGATATTGAAATGCAATCGGACATTTACCAGTTTAGAATTTGCAAGAGTTTAAAAAATGTTGGTCTAGTTCATTTATTGAAAATACAAAGATTTTTTGTACTGATGAGTATTTGAGTCGCAACCTATTACCAGCTCAAACTTTTGATTCAGGCAGAATTCAATCAGATCCTCCATTTCTTTGCTAGGAAGTGACATAGTTTCCTCATAGGGGAGGTATACAGATGCAGGATTAATTGGATTTAAATCGGAGATGTATAGGTGCACTGTTGAATGGGCTTTGTATTTCATAGGAATGCAAATGGCTTTCCAAAAATGTTGGTTGCTGAGAAAGCTAAAAATTTTGGTTTTTATTATCCAGGGTTCCTGGATAAGTGCTATTGTATCTTGCAGCTCATTAAAGCGGCAGCATTTTTCTCTCTTTGATTGCTACTCGATCCCCCTTTGGAGTTTGGGCAGCAGTTGTGGTTATTATTCGACCTTCCTTTTTTTTTTTTTTCAAAAAGGGGGAGGACGTAGGCTCGCGTAGCTCCTCAGGGTTGTAACTGATCGCATCCTTATCTTGTCCTTGGTTGCGTCGTGTTCCTAGCCTCTTGTGGAGGCAGAACTAGCGCCGCTGTCCAAGGACTTGATTGGAGTGAGGCCGTATCCTGTCGATGGTAACTGCTGCAACTCTGCCTGTTTGCAATTTAGTCTTCTTCCTTATATTTGCTGCAGAACCAGAAATTCTCTTGTCTCTCTGGTGAACTACTCGATTTTTTGGAGATAGACGTCGCTGTCAACCCTCATGTGCTGGAGTTGAACTTTGCTGTCCAGCCTTCTTTGACGTCCAACTTCCTTGGATGTGTGTGGTTTTGGATCCATAAGATTATCACGAGTAGCTAGGGAAAGAAAGGTCGGCCGACGCAGAGCCTCACATGCACCGGCAAGGCAAGAGATTGTCGCCAGGTGTCCTCAAAGGAAATTATTTGCGACAATTCGAGTTTTTTAGGCTCTCTCGCTCTACTTATGTCTACCACTAACCAGGAAATCCTGGCTGTTCTCTTATCCACCACCTGGAGGCGCGCATTTAACCGCTAGACACCAAAGTTCGTATTTCGTGTTCCTACCACTTATGGTTTTGTGAGAACACTCAATTTTTTTATTGAAATTTGAAGATTTTGTCTTATAAACATTCCATTAACATTTATGAAGCTGATAACTTTGATAGTCACAGTCTATGAGTAATAAGTTCATGTTTTTTAGCCAGAACACGTTCTGTTTAAAATTTATTAAGCTCATACTACTGGAACGTTCTTGCATCCGGCTATAACAGAGATTCTATTAGACTAATCTTTCACTTTTTCTAATAAATCATAACCAAGGAACTGAAAATGAAAATTAAAAAGTACCTGTGACATGCGTACTGAAATTTGAACAATATTTACATTTTTAATATATCATGAGGTGTTCTAAAATTAGATTTATTTAGTTTTAGTATACCCCATAGAATGAGTAAATTTTTATTCGTTCATTTAAGCCAGTTTCTTAAATAATATTATTTTATGATACATTTTGATTTCTTATTTAGATAAACAAAACTTAATACAAGTTGTTTCACCAATTATTACAAACATAAAAGTTTTTTAAATAATTTTGAATAACGATGACGTTATTACATTAAAATGTTAATATAAATTCCTAAAATAAAAAACATGGTGTCCAAAATTTTAAACAAAACAAATCAAATGAGTTTATATTAGTACAATGACAAATTTGTATCGATTATTTGTTCTAGAAAAAACTGGTTTAAATTATTTTTAAATAATCTACTTGCACCCTGTAATATAAGTTTGTTTAAATATATTTCGCTAAATAATACTTATTATTTTAAATGTACCACATTGAATATTAACAACTTGGTAGTACGATAAGTTAAAATTGTAGTTATTACATAAATTTACCTTTAAATAAAAATACAGAACTTTATAAGTAGATGTAGGTTATAAGAATTTCTTTAATATTGATAGGTATGTGATATTGCAAATTACATAATAAACATAATGAAAAAATCATAATGTCTCCCATAAAATTTGATATTTTTTGTGTAACTTGCTTTCCACACAACACAAAGTCATTTGATTCCCTACGGATTGTATAAAATTAAAAATGTTGAAAATTTCAATCAAAAGGATCCAAAGTTTTTTCTTTACTCATTGTTTATTAAAACACATAAAAAAATCAATTTATTTCAAAAATTATGGATTCTGTGTATAAGGGACTTTAATTCTTAATAGTGTCCTTTTATCAATTGTGTTTTCTTACAAGTTTCCAAATAAATTGACCCATTTAATTATTTTATATAAAGAAATGCATTTAATCAAATTTTTAAATTTTGATTAACTTCAGCAGAATCTAATATTTCTTGAAATAATATCTACCTTGCAAATAATTTATTCATGTAAAATTGACCTTTTTTATTGAAGTATTTGTTTTATTTATAAATCAATTTACAAATACCGTATCATAAAATATCAAAAAGTTCTGTAATTTTGTTTTAAAGGTTGATTTGTCAGCAGTTTTATTTTTTACAAATTGTCTCTTAATTATATGCGTTACATTTTAATAGGTACATAGAAATATTTCGAAGTAGTCTATCAGAAGTAGACAGTGTCTTAAGCTACCAAGGAAATTCGATGGGAGGAATGGGTGGCAGAAGAATGGGAGGCGGTGGAGGACCAGGAATGTTCAGTTCTCGACCTAGCCCGTATGATCGCGATAGTCGTTACGGTGGTAACAGCGGCCGATTTGGAGGAGCGCGTGGAGCAAGAAGCTTTAAAGGTAATAAGCATAGTAGGAGTATACATATTCAACATTCAGTTCATTTTTCTGTAAGTCCAGGAATTAGTGCAGCTTAATAAAATAAAATAACTTAAATAACATATTTTCTTAATTTAAACTAATACAGGCTTTTTTCAAAAAGATTAAATTTGATGCTTGGAATCCGAATTGACAAGTAGATGAAATCTGTTCAGCAAGGAATTCAATAATTCGAATCTTTACAAGCCTTTTTATGATTTTGTATATTGTAGGAAGTACAAAAATGGGCCTGAAGTTAAAAGGGTCTTCAGACTACTACTCTTATGTAAGGGTACGATGATTCTTTAGACATGCTTGAATAGTGCCATTCATAAATTTAATGACACATTAATTGCCTCAACCAATGCATAAACGGCACAGTCTGGGAGATTTTTAATGAAATCGTTCTTTCCAGTAACTTTCTTGTTGTTTTAATGACTTTATAACTTGTTTTATTTCACGGTCATATTCATTAGATGACAGTCTTCTCTATTTATGTCCCTCATATATTTTGGAGGGTATTTTTTGGAACCAATATTGAAGTAAGATCATCAGCAATGGACATTTAAAAATCAGTAAATTGGTCAGGTGAAACTGAAGAATTTTGGTTTCCTCAAGTTTGATAATAATTATCCAGTTATCTTTAGCACTGTTACTGGACATTACTATTATGTTATTATAATATTTGTATTTTGCATCTTTTATTATTTAATTATATAATTTATGATAATTATATAAGTATTCAAGAAAGCCCAGATTGTATATTTTCGAATAATAGGTACATAATGACCTGCGATTTTTTGATGATATTCAAATAACTTTTGTTATCCATGGCTTTTACTTCTTGTCTTTAATCATTTTGATGATAGGAAAACTTTTTTCAACATTTTTGGATATAGTTTTACGATTTTTTTTTCTTTTCAGATTATGGTAGTTACGATCGTCCCTCGCCTTGGGCAAACCAAAGAAACGGCAATGATATGGGTTCTAGAGGTTGGGACACCTGGAACAATGGAGGTGGCGGGGGTGGTGGCGGTGCACCAGGTCTTCATTGCATACATATGAGAGGATTACCTTTCAAAGCAAGTGAAGATGATATTGCGGATGTAAGTAAATAAATAATTTGATTATTATAGGATTTTTAAATAATAGTTATTTCATAACATAACATGTTTGACGCAATTCAATATTCCATACCAAAAATGTATTTATAATATCTGGCAATATGATTTATGTAGAAATTGTTATGTAGTACCTACTTATTAGCATTTTAAAGTCTATAATAGTATATTACACACCGAGGTGGGAAGAGTTTCATTCCTGTCGTGAGATTAGTTAGATCACCGAGACGCGAAGCGTCGAGGTTAGCTATGATCTCGAGACAGGAATGAAACTTCCTACCGAGGTTTATATACTATTTTATTTACAACCATCATATTTTAATCAAAGTTAATAAATCTCTGTTTTGTTCTGAACATACCTAAAATATTACATTTAACGACAAATTACCAAGGGCGCGGTTTTCTCAGAATAATCAAGTAGGTAAATATATTGTTACTGTGATTACGGGGTAAACAACTGTCACCAATATAAATAAAATAGATAAAGCCGGATATTAAATTCGCGAATAATAAATATCAATAAGTAATTTGTTATATTTTAGTTCATTGTTGTTTTTTATTGTTTGCCGTTAAATAGGTATTATAAAATTTGTCAAAAAAATGTGTTATTTTTTTTTTAATATAAAAAATATTCATCTAGAATAATAGATAAAATGAGGGCGGGAAGTAGAAGTGTGTAATATGACACTTCCCAACCTTTAATAACGTTAGTAATGACAACATTACATATATGGTTGTAAATAAAATTAATTTTTCATGACATATCTAGTATTGCAGTAACAACGACGATAAGGCCATCGAAAAAGAAGAAATTATTAGTTATTTCATAATTATACTCCTTTTTAATTATGTAGGGTGCGAATATAGCCCCGTAACTTATTAGCAGTACATATAGTGGGTTCCAAACCTTTGTGAGGTTCAGCGGCGTGTATAAAAATATATAAAAAAAAAGTATTTTAATAATATCTGCCTGCTTAGACTGAAAAAGAGTAGGAAGAAGTTTTTGCTTGTTTCAGAACTAATAATAATCCAAAAGAAATTGAATATCTCTTTGCTATAGTAATGACAAAAATGTAAAAAAAATCAATTTCTGTCATTATTTCACTAAAGCAAAGAGATATTCAATGTCTTTCATGAATAATAACATTTTCTCTAACAGTTAAAAATACAAAAGTTTTCCTCTTTTTTAGTCCTTCCCATCCCATAAAATTGAAGATTACATATTGTGTATGAAACGCTACTGAACTTCAGATTGAATTTGTTGAAGAGTTAGTTTCAGTTTTTGATATTTTTAAAACTATTATTTCTATAGAGCCTTAGAAATATGAAATGTTCTTTATTCTTTATTTTATATTAAAAATGGTTGTTGGTTACTCAATAAGTGGTGAGAAAACCTGAGTTTTGGCGAGAAAAAATGGTAGAAAATTTAACCATTTTGTCATAAAAATAAACCTAATAAACTATCATATTGGAAAGAAACTTAGTAGAATATTAAAAATCCAAGACTAGACATTTTGAATGCACTTATTTTCACTTTATATAGTCTCTATATCATAAAATATATTACGTTTTTATATTGGATTACTAAAATACTTTAATAGAGCACTATTTTGTATTACTTTTACCTAATAAACTATCATATTGGAAAGAAACTAGTAGAATATTAAAAATCAAAAACTAGACATTTTGAATGCACTTATTTTCACTTTCTTTAGTCTCTATATCATAAAATATATTACGTTTTTATATTGGATTACTAAAATACTTTAATAGAGCGATATTTTGTACTATTTTTACCTGATAAACTATCATATTGGAAAGAAACTAGAATATTAAAAATCCAAGACTAGACATTTTGAATGCACTTATTTGAACTTTCTTTAATCTCTTTATCATAAAATAGTTATATTACCACTTCAACCATATTTTTATTTCAGTTTTTCAAACCCGTAGCACCCGTGAATGTCCGTTTAATTCAAGACAATAGTGGACGAGCTTCTGGTGAAGCCGATGTAGAGTTTGCCTCACATGATGACGCTGTAAGAGCTATGAGCAAAGACAAAGGACATATGCAACACCGATACATAGAATTATTCTTAAACTCTGCGGGAGGACAGAGTAACGGTGGTTTTGGTTACGGTATTGGAAGAAGGCGAATTTAAATAGTAATTGATGTATATTAAAATATAAAGGCCAGTACGATGTCATCTGATTGAATTAGATAAATAAAAAATGTTATTCTATTGATTTTTGATACAACCGGCCTTTAATAAAATAATCTTTTATCATAAACAAAAAAAAAAATAAATCCACAATGAGGAGTATCTTTTTTATTCTTAATTATGATATTGTAATTTGAGTAGGTTTGTTAATTTTGGCACGAAAATTAATTTTGAAATTAATTAATAAAGGAATGTATTTTCTTTGAACCATGTAAGGTAGCAGTTAGAAATTTAATGTACTTCAATTTTCAATAAAAATAATTTTTAATCATAATATTTATGTTTTATTTCTTTACGACAGATTTATGTATCTAACCCAGAATGGCCTTGAACGTCGCGGATCAGAATGCTGTCTACACTCGCGGTTTTAGGCACTTGTAAAAGATACGTCTACAGAAGGCCGGTATTAGAATATGAAATATAGAATCATATTCCCAATAAACGGTGAGAACCTTAAAGCTAGCAGTATATAACTTAACACAAAGAAAATGTTTGCAGAATTACAATTGGTAGAACTAAATAAAAAATTTGATGTGTCCAACACATGACTTTCCTATCTACTTATGATGGTAAGTGTCAATTTGAGAGTTACTCTCTAGAGCTCCCCATGGCAGCTAATCTCAGATGCTTGTCCATTTGAGAGCACTTTTCTGAATTTTTACTCTACGACAACTCCACGATACAACTCGCTGAGAATAAATAGCAGCAGTGCTCTCAAAACCGTGTCCACAGCAAGTGAATGTTGCGAGTTCGAAAGAGAAAGTTTGTAGAACATGGTGGTGGAAAAACTCGCGGTTTGTTACAAAATTTTACTGAAGAGGAAGCAAAAACAAAGTGAGAAGTTTTGGATTTGACGTAGAGTAGAATTAGGTGCGTGCTCTAGCTCTACATTCACAAGGGAGCTGCAGATCAAAGATAAGCAGCAATTTCTTGTGAATGCAGCGCAGGTTCAGTATATAATAGAACTAATTGGATATCAGCTGCGAAAAGAAAGACGAAAATGCGAGCTGTTTCCGTCTATGAACGTGTAATGGTCACATTACGATATTTAGCGTCAGGTATTATAAAATACAGAGGCCGCATCAGAATATAATTTACAAATGCATATTGTATGTAGTTTTCTTTCTGATTATGAATAGGTATAATATAGTTTTATACATAAATATAATTGACTTTTACCAAACAAATAATCTTCCAATTTGCAATAGATGGTCTTAAACAAGATTCAAGTCCCGGAACAGATGAAATCCAACCCATCTTTCTTAAGAAATGTTCTGGTAGCCTTCTTAATCTCCTCACGACAGTTATGAATGACTCAATGCAAAGACAGGAACTGCCAATAGACTGGAAACAGGCTATAGTCACTCCTATATACAAGAAAGGTGACAGAATCAAATAAACTACCGACCAGTCAGTCTTACAAACTGTATCGGTAAAACAATAGAGAAAAGATTATTACAACAGTTTTACCAAGCAATCAGCATGGTTTTATGACCAAAAGATATACTGTTACAAATCTTATAAGTGCAGTTAACCAGTGGACAGCGTGGAATAACAACAACCAGCCAACTGATGTGATATATCTTGATTATGAGAAATCTTTTGATAAAGTTCCACACAGAAGGCTGCTTAGAAAACTGGAACACTTTGGAATAAGAGGCAACCTATTATTGTAGATCAAGAGTTTCTTACTCAACCGGCAGTTCTGCGTAACAATAAATGGACAGCTGTCAAAAAAACCATCCAGTTCAAAGTACCACAAGGCATGGTCTTGGGTCCTCTGTTATTTATTTTATACACCAGCGATTTATGCAAAATCATCGAGTCCGAAGCTAACTACGCAGACGATAGAAAGATCTACTGTAGCAGGATACACATACTAAAGGTATGCTGACTTTCGATTCAAAATTCGTCCAAACCGCGCATTACGTAATGCGGGACGAACTTTCAAATTATTTTGACACTTTTCGATTGAGTAGTGTAAAATAATTTATATGTTTTTGTGTTAGTAGTGACTGTATTTTCCTATATATAACAGGGAAGAACTAAATTAGTGTTTAAAATGCCGGGCTGCGCAGTGGAGATATTTCCGAATGCCAGAAAATATGGGTAAATTCTTATCGAAGAAAGGACAAACTTAATTGAAATTGTCCTATCCATTTTGAGGAAAGTAATTGTGAGATTCGTTTTAAACATAAACGCAAGAAAAGGAAACTGAATTCCACCAGGTGCACGGGCATCATTAAACAAAGAAAATAAATCAGTATTTAAAAATTTTAGCAGATAAAACAGTAGTTTCCTGTCCCAATACAACGGCCCTTTCGAAGTAATGCCATGCATGAACAGGACACGAACATATAAGAATAAGATAAATGAACAGGAAAATTGGATTTGAGTATTTTCAAAGTAAACTTGACAAAAAAATTTAAATTTACCAAATAAAAAGTAATGTTTTTGTGTACTTACTTTTGTAAATAAATAATTTGTTTCTGCACACCTATTTTTATTTCACATAATAAGAAAAGAGATTGCAAGAGAACTACTATGCCCAGAAAGTACAAATTTCAGTCAAACTTATATTGTTAGTCTATATCTTTTACTTATGGCCTCGTCATGGATTTTGTCACAAAATACCTATAATTTATGAGAAAAATTAATATTTTTATTAGTATTATTTACCTTAAACCTTCATATTTGTAAACGAATATATTACAAAATAACCAATAAAGCTTAAGTAACTGCATAAAATCTAAAATTGGCAAAATATTGAATTTTAAACACTATCTCCCATTTAATGCTTATAATTCTATGTCCCACGTGACGTCACCGTCAGTCAGCTGTATGCGCAGGAACATACCCTTAGTCTGTGTATCGTGTACTGTAGGATATAGAAGAATTCGGATATTCAGCAAAATATTTTATAGGTATCTTTAGTAGAGGTTCATAAGTAACCAATGATTATTGAATAAAGTCGAAAGAAAATAGCAGAGATAAAAAATATTTTCAACACTCTGCCTTTGATTTTGCCCACTAAGGAGAAAGTTATCCTTATTAGGACTCTTCAGCAATAAATGGAAATTCTAGTAAGCAAAATCAAAAAGTGGATATCCACGATGGTTTGCGTTCGCGCCTAGACTTTGATATATTTAGTGGATGTCCATGGGATATTGAATACACCTTAAAAAAAATAATTTTAAATATCTGAACGGTACAATTAGCCACAATGGCGTAATTTTTTAATAATTTGCTGTATACTTACTATTATTTATGGACATTTGCATGTCTATAAATTACATATCATGGATATAAAATAGATATCCACCATGGACTGGACATTCAGTGAATATTGGGATGTGCAGTAGATATCCAAAGGATTTGGTGTGCTGTCTGGGCTGGTATCAAGTGTATAGCTATATTTCTAGATGTAGCAAAAGTATTTGACACGGTGCCACATCAGAGCTCTTAAATGTTCTTGAACAGAATGGAGTGAGGGGCATCGTGTTGAAGGTTTTTGAAAATTATTTGACACACAGACAACAGAAGGTAAAGGTTAGAGACAATGTGAGTAACCCTAAAAATATACAAATCGGAGTGCCTTAAGGGACTGTTCTGGGACCTATACTATTTAATTTATACATTAAAAGCTTAACTCAGATTGATATTCGAGGTAAAGTTGTATCATATGATACAGTGCTAGTCTTCAGTGATAAAGATTGGGAAGCCATCAAGACACATGCTATAGCTGGAATGGAACATGTCAAAAACTGGCTGGATGTTTTTAAATTGTCTTTGAATGTTAACAAAACAAACTACATTGCTTTTTCAAAGACAGTGGCTCGACCTCAATGGAGAAGCTTAACATGTCAAAATTTAGACATACAGGAAACAGAAACATCCAAATTTTTAGGTATAATTATAGACCAGCATTACATCCAAATATTTAGGTATAATTATAGACCAGCATTACATCCAAATATTTAGGTATAATTATAGACCAGCATTTAAAATGGGACTGCCATATAATAGATATAGCAAAAAAAAGTTAGATTTCTGATTTATAAATTTTATCTTCTAAAACAATTTCTCAACCAGGATCTACTAATAACATTATACTACAGTCTAGTAGAATCTATACTACGGTATAGAATCTTAGTATGGGGAGGCCTGTATAGAACTATATTAAATCAGTTAAATGTTATTCAAAACAAAATCTTGAAATTAATATATAAAAGAGATAGATTGTGTCCCACCATAACTTTATATAATGAAAAAATTAGCAATGTTAGATGTTTTTATATTCACGCAGTGTGTTGTTATATACAAAAAAAAGAATTTTTAAAAAACCCTTTAGAACATAGACGTAACACTAGAACTGCATCGAATATGTGCATTAGAGTACCAAAACCAAATAGTGAGTTTTTAAAAACAGTGTAAATTATCTAGGGACAAAGTTCTATAACGCTCTACCTCTTCATATAAAATTATTAAACAAATATAAAAAATTCTGTAAAGTTAGCAAAATATACATTTTCCAAAATAATGCAAAGTTTATCAGAATATTCCAAGAATAATGGACTTAATACATGGATTTTTTTTAAATAGTTTTTTTTTCTGTTTCTTGCATAAACTGTTCAAGTTTTATTCTTTATTAAAAAAAAAAAATATTTCCTTTATAATTCATTGAATGTAGTTAAAATAAAATTTTAATTTTTGTCAGCACATACAGGTATTCTCACCTAGGTGCTTGTTTTTATATAATTGGTTTCCATTATTGTACTTTATTGTAACTATAACTATTAAACTATATACCTATATATATAAGTAATTTTGTTAACATGGCAGAAAAATACTTCTTAAATTTAAATATTAATATTCTTTAACTTCATCAACAAATGCAGAATTTAACTCTTGAAATTCTGAATCTTTAATGTCACTTTTAGATATTTCTATTAAATTCGCTTCATCTTTAACTTCATCAACAAATGCAGAATTTAACTCTTGAAATTCTGAATCTTTAATTTCACTCTTAGATATTTCTTTTATATTCACTTCATCATCTTCACTAATAATTCTTGGCATCTTAACTAATGGTTCATCATCACTAATATTCACTGCTTCATGTTGAGACTCACTAATGTCATTTGATTCGTTTATTAATTTATTTTGATAGCTTTCTGAAGATTTATTACTAGAGTCACCTACGATTACACTATTAGTTGATAATGGTCCAGCACTTTCATTTTCTGCTGAAGAACTAATTTGTACTAGATCCATATGTAGTAGCCTATTATCCAAAATGGTGATCTCATTTTTATGATTTAATTTCTTGTCATCATCTTTAGATTCATCAGTACTCACTAGTGTAAGGTCTGCAACACATTCCATAAAATTTGATTCTTGACTTGTGCTATGATTAGATTGCATAACATCTGTTAGAAATGATGATGTGTTAAGTGGAACTGAAACAGGCTGGCATATTTTTTCTAAAATATTTAATCCTCTTTTACAAACTGTAGCTATGTCGCTATTACTATTGGAAGAGTAAATATTAAGGATATTGATAGAAAGAGAAACAGGTGGTAAATTTTTCAATGTATCTTGTTCGTAGAAAGCAACTAACAGCTTAAGGAGATTCAACTGGCATTTGTGGTTCCTATAAGGATGTGGAATCTCAGAAGTAATGATATCATTAAATATTGTGAAGATTAAAGTATAAATATTCTGGGTAGTTCTCGTTTCTAACTGGATGAAACCAGACTGAAACAGAGTTGTTAAAGTATTTAGTGCTAGTTGACATCGAATTTCCTCTCTTTCTTTCATGTGTTCTCCTTTATCAACAATGGAATGGTTTCCTTGTCTGCTAGGCATCGAGTTATGTTCAGTTATATTCCTCTGGATGGTACCTTTCTTTTTTGTAACTGCTTGTATTTTTAAACTGACTGAAGTCTTTAATGGTGAAATGTCTTTTAGGATGCAAGCTATTAATTGTTCTTGAAAATAGGAATTTAATGCACTTCTTGAGGTACTGATCCAGCATTTTAAAGTCAGATAAATAGTTTCTTGATAGTACACATCTAAATCAAAACACTTGCAGTTTTGACTTTTTTTAAGGCAATCCATTAGAATTTTACTAATAATAAATGCAAATGGGAATGAATGGTTCTTTAACCATATAATAAAAATTCTCAGTAAGCGTATTAACTGTACTTGGATACTATTCAGATTTGAACAAAACTGGTAATCTTCTTTAGAATTATCTGTAGCTGTACTTACACAATGATGTGGAACTGTTCCTCTACTAATTACATTTAGTATGTCCATAGGCCTTATATCTTTACAAACTGGAAATCCATTTTTTATCATTACTGTTATGAATATTAATATATTTTTAATTCGTTGTGCAGTTACTGTGATCATAATCTGAGTGTCAAACAGCTGGTTATCAAAATGAAAGCCTTCATGATTAGGTATATCTATACTGTCTATATGGCTAATATCAACCCTATTTTCAAAAAACTGATCGAGTAAATCATGAAATGTTTTGCATAACTTTTGTAAAGATTCTTGAAAATTTTTTCTATGATGAACACCTTCATTTCCTGCATTTCCCACTTGTTGTAATAATAAAAAAGCTGCTGCAGCTTTTTCAACAATAGCTGCCGAAGAATTTTCCAAAAAAGAAATTATATATGTTTCAATCTGAAGTTTGTGACTTGGAAACCAACTTCCAAATCTCTTCATGCTTACTGCAAGAACATCTAGTGCAGCTAACACTTCATAGGAATTATTACTTTGTTTAAGGCATAAATCAACTATTTTTGATAAACAATCCGAAACAATTTTCTTGGATACATCATTGTTATTATATGATATTTTAATAAGTTTGCTAATTAACAATAGCTTACTCTCTGTAAAGTTTTCACTGGATTCTTTTAAGCAAAAGTCTAGCCAAAGAATTATATAATCGCTAATCATATCAATTGTACAATAATTCAGAAGAGAATTTAATAATTCTAAACCTTTCCTACTTGTTTTCGGTGTAGATAAAAGTTTATTTAAAGCTCTTAAATTTGCTTCAGTAGGTCCATTTAGTAAGTATAAATTGAACATATCCGGATCAAATTCACTCGGAGTGGAATTATCGTTTGAAATTGCAGAAACCATTTTGAGTTTCACTTTTCACATATAAAGTTATTTCACTAAATAATATAATTATAAGGTTATACCGAAATGTAGTAGCGTGGTAGATATCGTGGATCGTTTATATTTGTGTCTTACACACAATACTATTTGCAATATTATTTGTAAAAACACGTGTGTAAATGGTTAACACCACATGTGATGAAAAAATAAAACATAAATTCAAAAATTTTCAGGTTAGAATCTCTTCTAACAGTCTTCTTTATTTTTAGCCTTTATCCTCTTAGGTCCGTATTTATAAACAGAACTCAGCCGAGTCGGACTTGGGTAAGTCGTACTTGAATTTAGAGATGGGTAGTAACAAATCCGTAAATTTACATAATAGTTACAGATTTGCTATAATCCATCTCTAAGGCCCGTATTTATAAACAGAACTTACCTGAGTCGGACTTGGGTAAGTCGCCCTTGAACTAAAATCGAAGTTCGGTTACAACGTCTCTAAAGTTCTAGGTGTTAAACTGGAATTTAGAGATGGATATTAGCAAATTTGTAACTGTTATGTACATTTAGGAATTTGTTACTACCCATCTCCAAATTCACGCGATATAATCGAACTTCGATTTCAGTTCAAGGACGACTTACTCAAGTCCGACTCAGCTGAGTTTTGTTTATAAAAATCGAGTTCGGATAGCCAGGGGCTGGAGCGGGACAAAAGCGGAGTTTTTTAGGGTGATTTTAAATGACATTTAAGCGTGTTAAACTGTCACTAATCGGACTAAACCGAACGCTAAAAGGGTCGTTTGGAGTAAAAAGTGTTAAAGGAGTAAAACTAACTTGGCAGACCGAACGCAATGAAATACGGACCTAGGTTGTTTCACTTTCACGTTAGGTTAGAAAAAGAAAAAAAGTAGAAGTAATTTTTAGGTTATGGGTGATGAATGTTTTCGCCGCAATTTATAAATTTTTTATCCCTTTACAGTTTTTTACCAAGGTTTATCAGTTTGAATAATTTTAGAAGCATGACGCAAAGAAAATGTTGTCTTGTGCATCTCACTAATCGTCTAAAAATTGATTTACCGCATGAAAAATTGATTATCCTAGGCCGAAATGTAGAAACACAAGTAGAAGATATTTTTATTTCAAGACACCAAATTGAATGTATTGCCGATATCGAAAAGTGCATAGTAAAGGTTAAACCTGTAGGAAAATCAATATCAGGGGTTGACGGGTATGCTATAGTAAAAGATAAAACGTATGCATTAGGACCTGGGCATGTAATAGAACTTCGTTTAGGATTTCATCCATACGAAATAACATTCGAGTCTCCTGAGCATATACCAAGTGAGTAATATTTTGCTGGGTCCTGGTTATTTGAAGTATTTTTGACATTAAGATATTTTAACTAGAACTATTAGCCTTGGTAGAGCAATTTGTCGAGTGGCCAATAACTGAGCCAGTAACTATATATTAATTAAACGTGTTACCGAAATTAAAGACTTGGGAATATTTTGCTCTGGTCTTTCTTTTAATAATCCTATTAATCAAATAGTTAATAAGGCAATGAAAATGTTAGGCATTCTGGTAAGAAACTCACTATCTGTAGACACTTGTAGAATGGTATTATATAGCATATGTGCAGTCTATTTTGGAGTACAGCTATACCACATGGTGTCCATTTTACAACAACTCTGTAAAATGGATTGAAAATGTCCAAAATAAATGTTCTACAATATTGTGCCTTTCAACTTGGTCTAGCGACAGGTACATATAAACTTAAATCAAAGAATCTCTGTCATTCCTCTATAATATAGCTGGTATTGTTACATCTGATGAGTTATTATCCATGATTAAATTTTGAGTTCCCAAAAGAATTATAAGGAATAATAACATTACCTCATTATTTATTCTTTTCTTATGCTTCTACCTAGACTAATGCAACTGGCTATAATTAATACAATTTAGATATCATAGGGTGTTCAATTTGCCAATTTTAAAACAATGTAAAAAGAATATATTTTTAATATCTTTGATATATTTAATTTCATATATTAGCACCTCAGAGGCAAGGTGAGTTTTTTCCACTTGTGGATCTACCATACCAAATTCTATCTAGTGGGAAATAGATTTAACTGTTGCATAATGTTGCCACAGCAAGTCACATCAAAGTCAAAATTTTAGGACAATGTAAAAAAATATAACAAAAAATTGTACCTTTCATAATGTATTTCATTAAATACATTATGAAAGGTATCATTATTATATTTGAGCTATTTTATGTATACTAATGGATCTTTCCATAATAAATGCAAACGATTGTAGAGGGTTGTTGCCAAAGAAGTTATTTTGTTAAATATCAAAATGGGAAAAAATCAGTGGCTTACCATTTTTTTTTATACTAAAAATAGTTGTGGTATACTAGCACGAACGCCACTGGTGTGAGTAGTAGAAATAGAAGAATAGAAATAGAAAATTAAGTTACAAACTATTGCCTATTGCGTGGTATACAGAGGAATTGAGGCAAAAGAGGAACCTCCTTTTTGAGCTAAAATTTATCTGTGATGCTACTAAATCGTCTGATATTATACATAACTTTAAAATTTTCATAACCAGGTTAAATTGGCAAAAGAGGTTGCTAATGACATATATATTGCTGGAATCTGAAAATAAGGCCAAAGCTTGTGGGAAAATTATTAATCATAAATGTAATTGTAATGATAAACAAGACAAGGCTCCCCAAATAACACCCATGGTTTAGGTTTTGATATGAAGCTTTAGTTCCTGGGGTACACCCTGATACTAATATTGATACTTTATTGGCTATGGCCACTTTAATGCTTCTTTTGAAATAACTGTTACTACATAGATACCATTTATTGGAACTGTAATCACTCAAAACTACTATCAGTTTATTGTAACTCTATAGTTGCAAAAATTATATAGTACCAGTGAATCAGTGAATGCCACCCACCAGTACTTTTACAAAGAGAGGCAAAAAGGTTCCAGAATAGTTCCAATGACCATCACTTGGAACTTTAAAGTATCCTGGCATTTTAGTCGCAACATTGGTAGAGAAATAGTTACTGTTGGTACTTTACATTTTTTGCAACTATACTATTTTGACTTAATGCCACTATAAAGTTTCAGAAACTATGATTTTGCAACTTTATAGTGACAAATACCTTATGTGCCAATCTTTGTCGTTCTGTTTTAAACAGTAGTATTTGCTATTCTAGTTTGTCTTGTTTAGTAATACAGTTAATAGCCACGAATATTACAAGAAGTTCAAGCTCTTTGTATATTTTATTTAATCCAAACAGCTTATAAATTAAAAGATATTTTTTATGAAATACACTTGTTTAAGTAGATATGAAAAATTCTTTAAAAGAATAAATGATAATTCTTTAAAATAAATAATGTTTTCTATAGGGGTTAAAATGTATCGCAAAATACAGTAAGAACCGAGTTAGAATTAATTTTAGTAAACCTACTTACCTATTAATTTACAACAAAAAAGGAATTTGTGCACACATATGTTATTGTTCGGGCATGACGTATTGTGGTGTGGAATATCTGATTGGCCATGAGTTACCGTGACGTAGTATCAATCGACGTAATATCTTATACCTTTTTATAGTATCATGAATATTACATATTGGCAAAAATGTATTTGAGGTTAGTATATTTTAGTGAAAGGCGCCACCATACAGTAACGTTTGGGACTAAATTAGTAGCATTTGACTGACTATTGGATATTTATGGTGTTTAGAGTAACATCTCAGTGGGGTAGGTTACTGTATTCGAAAAAAAAATACAAAATCCTTAGTTCAAAAATAGAATCTGATACTATACAGTCACATAAGTATAGTTGCTATTGGTTCACCAAAGTCACAGATCCTCTAGTGTTAAAATGGGGTAGTCCCCTATACTTTATGGTGGAAGACCTAACTTTATAGTACCTTTGTTAAAATCGGCAGCCATTATTAGATGCGAAAATTTTTAGAAAAAAAAATTGGTTTTAATCAAAAATAAATAATAGTTATGTTAATTTTTTATCATAAACTTTTCACAGTGTCTAAATACACGCTAACTTGTACGCAATTCAAAAAGTTATATACACGCGAAACGTCTTGACAGAGTAGGTGAGCTGTAGGCCGTTGGTGTTTACGCCGGTCGTCGTAGCTAGGTATGGATTAAAATTTATTTGTGGCAGCGAAGCCGCCACCCTACGAGAAGTCGTTGCTTCGTTTTCTTGTTGTCACAGCATTATTATTTGTTCATGTATGTAAAATTTGCTTCTAAGGTTTATAAAATACTACTGCCAGTCACGGCGTAAATGAAAACAAACAAGACGCATTCACACAAACACCTCCCACCACAGCAATATGACGTTTCACGTGTATATAATTTTTTTGATTTGTGTACACTTTAGCGTGTACCTAGCAACAGCGTAAACTTTTACGAAATATGACTGAAAGTATTTCAAATGTTTCCCTAATAAATATAAAAAAAATTGAATCTTGCATTGTGTGTGTACTGTGTACGCTCTTATGGTATGTCAACTTATATCAGAAAAGTAAATGGCTTTAAAAAGAAAATGGCTAAAAAAGCACCTACTTTAATCACGCGCCTAACGTACACATCTTTTTGATATAATATATATCACTGTGCCATTATTATAAAAGAAAAAAACAAAGAGGGTGCTCAAAGATATTGTAAATAATTAAAACCTGACAGCGTCAGTTACTAGGGAGCTACGTAGCTATTACTAGGCCGTCGAGTCGATGTACTGGGAACTAATATGATTTACAAAAATTTAAAATACTATAAATATTGCATGTATATATTGAAAACAATATTGGCCCTAAAATAGAGCCCTGTGATACTCCACAACGAATACTTTTAATGTTTGATCTACTTGGGGAAGTTTCTACATATTGGCATCTGTCACATAAATATTTTTTAAAAATTTTTACTGCATTATCTGAAAATCATATGTATTTTAAGATGGCTAACAAGATCTGGTGGTTAATTGTATAGAAAGGCTTTGAAAAATTTACTAATGTTAAAGCAATCGTTTTTCCACTATCTATATCTGTAAATAAATCATATGTAATAACTAAAAGTGCTTTGTTACAACTATATCCTCTACGGAATCCTGACTGATGTCTGAGTAAAATATTGTGTTTATTTAGATGTTAAATTAATTTGAAGTTTAATAATTTTCTCAATTATTTTTGACAACACTGGTAGTATGGCAATAGGCCGTAACTCATTTATACTAGAAATATTCTTTTTTTTTTAGAAAGGTAATATCTTAGAAACTTTCCACTGCTCTGGAAAAATTATGTTTTCTGTAGAGAAATTAATAATATATGTGACAAATGGCAATATATATGGACAAGACAAAAGTAGCATGTTAAATCGTACAAGATCTGGTCCTATCGCAATTGACTTGATTTCTAACATTTTTTCGTTCACAGTATTGTCATCAACAGAAACAAAAAATACACAAGGATGTTCTAGGTTTATTTTTCTGTTTATACTATAAAATTGTAATAAATTATGATCTAGTATTTGCATATCTTAAATTTTTTTAAAGATTTGTCCTCCAATTTCATCATTAATTTAATATTGTTAATTAGCCACGGTGGCCTTGGTTTTTTATTTTAATCTTTTTAAGTGGTGATAATGTATCAAATATTTTTAGCATCTTGTTTGTAAAACAAACTTATCACTTACATCAGTTGATTTAAAAATATTTTCAAAATTGCTTGTTTCTAGGCAGTTAAGTAATAACTGTTGATCTATACTCTTTAATTCCTAGTTACAATGAGTTTACTCCTCACTTCAGGTAAATATATACTAAATTGACAAATAACTAGCTGTAGATCAATGTTATGTAATTCAACATTGCCGTAAGAACTTACTTCTTGATCTTCAGAAATTATAGTAGCATCTAATAAAGTTTCTGTGTTTTTTGTAACAAGAGTTGGATTATCAATAATTTGCTAAAAATTAAATAATTGTATAGAATTAAACAATTTTATTGCTTTGTTAGACGTGATATCTAAAAGATTAATATTTATATCTCCGTCAGTAATTATCCTAAATTTGTCAAATTTAGGTACGCTTGTCACCTGTTGCACGTTGTACCGTAAAACATGTATTATTTATAATTTTTACAATTGTTCATTAATGTTTTATTTTTAATTATCCCCTAAATGTGTAACTATAGTATTTGTTGTTAACAATTCTGTTTCATTTGATTGACTCCATGTAGAAGGTATCAATGACGACGGCTCTGAAGATGGCTTTATTAAGCTGAAAGCACTTGTCCTAATTATTTAATAAAAATTTTCAAACTTTTTACACCCTTTTGTACCTTTTCCACTTTTATTTCACTAGCAGTGTGTACATTACTCTCAATCTACTTGTTCATATCACTGCTAATATCTGAGAGAACCTTACTACTATTAGTACCTATTATTATCCAATGTATTATTTTTATTATTATCGGCATTTTTAACCGTTTTTATGAAAATTAGAGTCTTTATCTTGTCAGCATACTCAATATCTTTTTTAATAATGCAGAAATTTTAAAATTACTTAGTTTGTGGCCATCGTACCATAGAAATAATATAGAAGACCAATATAAATATAACAATTAAGCAGCAATTGAAACCTACTGGCATAAAAACACGTCCTGCGCCTGACATCGCAAAATAGTGTGTCTAGAAGCATGCGCAGTATGCATGACTTGTCCCTGTAGTGTTGCCAAGTATATTAAATAAATAAAAAATATTTAGATATAGATTGAACAACAGGGGACCCAGGACAGTTCCCTGAGGAACACCGTATTCACTTGTTAGAAAGATACTTTTAGTGTCGTTTATTTTAACGCATTGTTTTTTGTTTTGAAGATAACTCTCCATAATCTTGTAAGGTGTTTCCCTAAATCCTATTCCATCCAAAACTTCCATAAGCTGAATGTGACTTTATGATATCGGCTATTGGTTCTCCAATTTTAGAAGAAATATGTTTTAAATCATCTGCCCTGATAGTATCTAATCCTGGACGTTTTTTGTTTGTCAAGCCTTTGATTATATTAATAATTTTATTTGCTGTAGCGTCCTTTAAAAAGAATGAATTTTTTAAATTCGTTTTAGGAAATTTTTGTTGTCTATTTCTTCTATGTTTGTTCTTATTTGCAAGTAAATACCAACATTTGTAAAGTATTTGTTGAAGGAATCAGTAATTATTGTTTTGTCAGATGTAACTAGACCATTATCAATTTTTATTTTACTTATACTTAGAGTTTTATATTTTTTTTTAATTGTTAAGTTATTTATGGATCTCCATAATTTACTAGAATCAGACTTGTTTATTTCCAAATCTTTTTGATAGTACATTCGTTTTGCGTTTTCTACTAATTTGCCAAATATGTTTTTGTGCCTGTTATACTCATTTATGTTCTCTTTAGTAGGATTATTTTTCATTTTATTGTAAATCTTTTGTTTTGTATCAGCTGATTTTAGTAAACCGTTTGTCATCCATGCATTTCATTTTATTTGATTTCGTTTAAGTGGTATTTTGTTAGAGCTGTTCTCAATAATTTTTCTGATTTTTAATCTTAAGTTATCAGTAGCAGTGTCAACATTGTTTGGAAATCTAAACCTACCTAAGAATTATAATTATGTACATAGAGAGCTGCCTAGCGACGGGGAGACATTATCGGTATCTGACAAAATAATTTTTTGTTAAAAATAGTAAACAGGTTATGATCTTTCCATCTAAAATATTATGACAGTTCTATTTCCGTTTTATTTTAAATGAGATGCCACTTCTATTATTCCTGATACCGATGGAAAATGAAATGTTGCTAATTTGGAATTTATACCTATAAACAACGCTCATGGCGTCAGAGATCGTGTTTCAGTAGGGTATAATTTAAAATAAAGAATTTTAAAATGGACCTTATTAAATTGTACCTTTACCTAACATTTATGGCATCACTGGCCGAGTTGGCATCGGGTATATTTTCAAATGTAGAAACTGAAAATTAACCCTATTAAATTGTACCATTACTTAACATTTGTGACGTCACTAGCGGAGTTGGCATGGTATACTTTCAAATGCGGGTTTCAAGGCATTTTAAAACATAAACCCGATCTCAACGAACTTAGAAACTGTTCTGTCACTCGATATTTTAATCGTTACTTCCTCTTCCCTTTTTAGCTGCTACAACAATTATTTACATTTCTTCATTCCTTACCGCGTGCGAACCAGTACGGCTTAATGGAATTTTAAAAATTAAGATGTTAATGATTTTCTCATGGATCCTATCTTCAGAGCTTGAGTAAATGTATATAGAACTATTCCTTTTCTAACAAAAAGAGAATCATAGAAATCGGGCAACGTGGTAAAGAATTATCGCTCAACATACATAAAAAAATATTTCAACGAATTGAGAATATCCTCCCATTTTGAAGTATGTTAATAAAGTGCAAAGTAGGGCGTGAACATATATTATAAAGTATATAAAATGATATGTCCTTCCCACTTCAAACAATCCGTGATTGTACCTATTTATAAAAAAGGAGATCAAAAGAATGTTTCGAACTATAGGCCTATTTCTTTAATAAATTGCTTTGCAAAAGCAAGGATACAAAAATTCATAAATAAGTACAATTTAATTTCAGACAAACAATACGGTTTTAGAAAGGGCGTTTCAACAATAGATGCAGTAGCTAATTTAACATAAAAAATTTACAACTTAATAGATAAGGGTACGATCAGCTGTTAGATACCTTGGAAGACATAGGAATTAGAGGCACACCATACATGGTAATGACAAGTTATCTTCATCAACGCACTCAAAGAGTAAAAATAAACGAATAATACAGTGATATATCTTCCATTAAATACGGTGTGCATCAGGGAACCATCTTAGGTGCCCTACTGTTTACACTATACGTAAATAGTTTGCTTAAAGCGAGTCGCTGGCGATCTGCCGGTGAAAGCCTAAAAAGCTGGCGACTCGCCGGAGATTGTCACCGGAATGTCATTTCACGCAAGTTTTCATGTTCTTTTATAGGGAAAAATTTGATATTCGTTCATTATTTTTTGAGTTTTAAGAAATGAATCATGAATAAAATGCGAGAGATACCGGTGATAATCCCTATAAAAGAAAATAAAAACTTGCGTGAAATGACATTCCGGTGACAATCTCCGACGAGACGCCAGATTTTTGGGCTTTCGCCGGCGGATCGCCAGCGAAACGCCGGAATGAATCTCTGGCGAGTCGCTGGCGATCGACTATGCATACGGCTGTATGTTTTGCAGACGATACGGCCATTCTTTATAAGGCCCAAACCTGGGAAGCTCTATAACAAAACATTGAAAAGGATATGAAAAAGATAATTGAATGGTTTAATCATAAATTATTAACAGTTAATTTTGAAAAAACCTTCATACCGTTCAAAAACTTAACAATAAAAATAAAAAATAAATAATAAATTAATATAGAAAGATCTAATGACATTAAATATCTTGGGAGTCACTATTGATGGTAACCTGAAGTGGGAAAAACATATTCAAAATGTCACTAAAACATTAAGGTGCCTGTTATATAAATTTAAATATTTAAATTCTATTTTAAATTTACATCACCTAAAAATAATTTATTACACACATGTTGAATCCAGGTTGCAATACGACATATTGGTGTGGGGTGGAATATATCAAGTTCACCTAAAGCCTTTAGAAGTAATCCAAAAACGTATTTTAAAACTAATCTTAAGGAAATGTGTAATATTTCCAACCGACTTTTTCAAGAGACACGTGCATTAGATATTCGACAATTATTATTTGGCCATGCAATTATAATCTATATGTATAAAAATCGAAATAAAATATTAGAGTATATCGATCACACTTACAATACGCGCCAGAAAACATCGCAACTTGTTAAAACCATAGTGTCAAAAAGAAACACTAGGACAAAGAAACTTTATTTACATTCTTAGCGCCAATAATATTTAATTTGCTGCCCAATATCTATAAAACATAAAAAAAAATGAATTTAAAACGTTCTTACTAGATAATGAGAGACATATTGGAGAATTAATAAATAATTAAATAACACTATTTAAAACTTTACCCCATTTTAAAAGTTTTTACTAGACACTGGCAGTCATATATGTCATTTATGTAGGGAATTCATTAATAAATAAATAACATTTTAACTTAATACACCTTTCATTCAAAATAAAATTTGTATTTTTCATGTTTAGTGCATTTTCTATTTTTGTTTATTGGCTTTTTGCCATTTTTGTTTTGTATTTTAAGTATTTTTATTCTACTTTGCGTATTTTATATATTTTTTCTATTTTTGTGTATTTTATGCATTTTTATTCCATTTGTGTATACAAAATAACTTCGGTAACCACCCCATAAAATATTTCGTACTTATTTACAAACACCCTCTATATTTATTTAATAAAAACAATTGTATGTTATAGAATGTATATCAAATAAGCCTCCAGCAAAAAAAACGAAGTTCGACAATGATGACAATGCAGCAGAAGATCCTCGGGTATTTACTGAAAATGGAAAATGGGAAGAAATTGATCACAGAGAATTATTGATTTATACACCTGAGAACATTCAGAACAGAAGTAAAATAGCAGCTTTTGATATTGATGGTATATTTTTTATTTTAATTTTATGAGCTGATTTACAAAAGGACTTTTCTTATGCAAACTGGAGTACCGTCAAAATGTCAGAATTTTTAATATGTTAAATAACTTGATGTTCCTATCAAAAGTGTCCATGGGCCCAATCTTATCTTATGACTAGATTTTGAGATACAGGGTGTTGAAGATAGAAATCTCTGATTCTTTAAAATGGACACCATAAATCACACTTAAATATTTTTGGAAGTTATTCGCTTATTCTGTATCGTCAAAATACATACTTAACTACTATAATTAAAATATTGTCCCTTACAGGGTGATTAATGATTTGACAGATCTTTTTTAGTCAAAGTAGGTATTTCCACTGAACAAAAATAGCTGAAATACCGAAAAAAAAATATATTGTATAGTTCTTGATGTATTTGTTCGAAATTCTTATTGGTAAAATTAGATCTATAACTAGTTTTCCAAATATAACATAATATGTACCCAATATATGAATTTTAAACAATAAATATACTGACATAAGTAGATATTATGTTTCAGAGAAATACTGTATATTAATTATTTTGACACACTGTGTTGGATTAGAAATATACCCCTTGTACTATTTGAGGACAGCCAAAAATATTTCGTACTTACAGGGTAATTGCGGTTGAATATGTAAGGTGAAAAAATTAACAAAATGTTGAAATTGTTGCCAAAGAATAGAAAATAATAACCTTGTGAGTTGTTCATCAAAAAAATATTTAAAGTCCACATACAGTCATACTTTATTCCGTTACAAAAAAGTTTATTATACGGTAGGTCTAAGTAGAATGTGGAGAAATAAATTATGATCGGATTACAGGGTTTATTTGGCTCGAGTATTGTCATAAGTGCCTCTTTTTTTTGTATATTTAAATAAGATTATGAGCTCCATTCCACGCCACCAATGAGGTAAATCCCCCAATACATTTTGTTTTAAGTCGCGTCCACTAAAGGATGGTTACAGTTGAACTTGCAAGGTGGAAAAATCAACAATATATAAAATTATTGCCAAATATTAGAAAATAAATTGCTTGTGAGTTCTTTATTGAAAAAGATTATAAATATACATACATTAATATTTTAAATAGCCAATAACAAACTTTGTCAAACTGACATAGTTTTTGAAATAACTATACTCTGTTTTTAAACTAAGAGGAGCGATTTGAATTTAAGTTGGCAATTCTGTAGCCTTCTGATTGGTCAGATTACAGTCAGTTTCACACATTACTTTTTAGCATGAACATCAGCTAATAATTGATATTGTTGACAGTTCTGACATTTTATAATTTGATATCTCATCCATTACTTAGTTTTTTACTTTATTTCGTAAATAATAGTTCTTCAGTAAGCAATTGTATTGAAAATCTACAATTATGGATCCTTCTACACTGATTACTATTAAAGGTAGCAATTCCTGAAAAGCCTTACAAGAAAGGGAAGACACCTTATTATTTTACATGCTGATTCTGAAGGTTTTGTAGAAAATGCATTATTGGTTTTTGAAGGTAGAAAGATGGGAGATTACCATGAAGAGATCAATTCCAAAGTATTTTAGAAAAAAATAATTTTATTACTGATTTTTTAAAACTAAAAATTGATGAATTTCTAACCGAAATGATTAAAATGTAACTAAATATTCAAGCAAATTTTATTTATTAGAATAGAATAAAACTATTTACAAAATTGTTATAACATTTAAAACACCATCTACTACTTTAGGGATAATCTTAATTTGGCACAATGAGTTAACATTATTTTCACAAAAAATATTTTAAAAATACTTAAAATTAATACATAGGTATGTATGAATAGTTCACTTTAAAACATATATGTTGACATGTAGTGTTATGAAAATGTTGGTTTCAGTTTTCAAAACAAATTCTGACTCATAGGCCTGTAAACTTTTGAATGCCTTTATTTGCCCTCTAGCGCATTAACCATTGGTTAACACTAGATAAGCCATAATATCCACATTACTCATAGAAGAGATACCAGTTACTGTGTGATCCACTTGTCATTCACTGATTAACTTTTACTTTTTATACCTATAACAAATATATCCTTAAAAATGTAAACAGATCTTTATATTTTATATTAACCTGGCTACATCTGGATATTCCATTAACAATTTTATTAAATATTTAATATCCATTTTAAAAAGATCATAGTTATTCTCAAAAATTCGATTTCAAAAGCAAGAAAAAAGTATTTCTGACATCAATCAACCACCATATTGACTTTAATTTTACAGTGACATTTCGTTTTAGACACATTTCAGATCACAATAATGTGAAATTTGCGACCGTTGTCTGGGACCAATTAAAAAATTACTTCTATGACATTTATTCGTTTCTTAACCGCTCATTGGCCGTTCACCGACTAAGGCCGATAAAGATAATTATTTCATAAATTTTGAACACGACTATATTTCGAAACTCGCTCTTAGTAACAAATCTAGTTACTTTTCCCTGTGTAAATGCGTCTTTTCAATTCGCTCCTCCTAGTTTAAAAACAGAGTATAGAAATTAAAAACATTTAATGGATCCTCAAAATGAAATAGTCAATGAGCAGAAAAATCTGGGAAATTATCCACTTCTTTACTGTCTTCTTAATTTAATATTAATTGCGAGTTTTCTTCTATGAAATCCATTGAATAATAGTTAAAAACACAATAAAGTATAAACGTCATATCTATTATTGGTACACATTCATATAAGAAATTGTATTTTCATGTTATTGGTCGTTCAAATATTTAACATAAGTCGAGCAGCTATATTATTGTAATTTTCACGAAACAATTGTTGATATTTTTATAGTTTATAGCTTACCTATTCCTCTATTGATTTTTCAAGGGCTTCTCAAAACAATATGAGTACAGGGTAATAAAATATTCGTAATTTTCGAATCACCGGCATGTTTTTATATTGTCATTATACAAAGACATGCAAGTATTTAATGATTATAACGCCATAAATATTTGAACTTGGAAATATAGATAATCATTAACATCCTGTAACTCCGTAATTTTTCACTTCAGACTTAAAGTGTTATAGCTTCTTGTAATCGACAAAACCAGGGCATTTTAAATCGGCTTTGGTCTGGTACCGTGTTAAGAATCACCCTGTATATTCGTAATGATAAAATATAAAGCTTAAGACTGCCTGCTTGCCTGAAGTTTTTCTTTTTTATATCTACTATGTTAATATTTAATTTTTCCGAAGTTTTTCACAAAAATTGATTACCCTGCATATTTTGTAACCTATGAGTTGTATTCTGACCTTTTTGGTTGTAGACGATTGATAGATTTTATTAGTAAATTCGAAATAGTCGTGAATTTGCCATCAATCTTATAGGATATATAAACATGCTTACACTTGATTTATATTTATATTCATCTTAATACTGTATTAGTGTTTTAAATAAATATTGTCACAAGTATGGTGTTTGCAACTGTTATGTTTACAATAGACACTTTCAACTTCGACTCACTATTCGTTTAGATGAGGACAATAATATAATGTGTTTAACGTTGCTAATTTTAGAAGACAAGCTGCCTGAAACGGAACAGAAAGAAGGAAAAGAGCTCTTCCAAACGGCCGTGTTCGCCTTTTTAAAAGTCTTCAAAACCAAAAAACTTGATTTTTCTAGAAGGTATTTTGTGTCTCTCTCGAATATAAAGAGGAAACCTATATCAGTTCACGTTTGGTGTCCCTTCCAAATTTTTAAAAATCGATAATTACAATTACTTTATTTTAAAGAGTAGAGTTGGGAACAATTAATACGAATTAGAAGGTTATAAAATAACAAAATTTCCTGAAATTAATGTAACAGTAAAATTTACTGTTACAATCCTGCCTTCGATAATCTACAAGAAGTAAGATTATGTTTAAACTGTTATCATGCAATCACATAGGAACTTAGAAATATTGAAAATGATCCAAATTGGCCAAGACTTAATGTTTTAATACCCCACTCAGTTCGTGGTTGTATAATTTGTAACGCACAAGTAAATGTAAAACTATCGGCAGTATGCAGAGCAAATATTTTTTTAGTTTCAAATATTTATGTACCCGAATATATGAAGATTTGTGATATTCATCTAAATCATTCAGGTATACTAATGATTAATTTACATGCTGGTTTGCGTTTTGTTTATAGACCATTCCTCTCCGTTAATATTCAGCAATTTTTGTCTAGTTTAAGAGCGGCTGCTACTGCTAAAAAATAATTTAAGAAATTGGGAAGACATAAATACTTTTAGTTTAGAAGAATTTAAATATTTAACTTCAATTTCTAAAGAGAATTTGAATTATATCAATTTTGTGAACCTATCCCCGGATCTTGAATTTTTTTGAGGCGGGGCAAAAATTGAAGAATGCCGTCCCCACCCGCCACTGATGGACATATGCCTCCCCCAAAGAACCCCACAACTACCGGTATACCGCTGCTCTTTCTCTGTTAAGCCAATTTTTTCACACTAGTCATAATTAATTTTTTTTTTGTAATTTTGACCTACCCTATTATACAAGCAGTGCAATATTCCTAAAGGGGCTAACACTTAAAACAAAATGTATTAGGGCTTTACCTCATTGGTGACGCGGAAAGGAGATCCCAATCTGATATAAATATACAATATAAAGAGGCAATGATCCAGTCAAAATAAACATGTAATCCGTTCATTATTTATTTCCCTAGATCCTACTTAGACCTAGTGTATAATAAACTTTTTTTATAATGAAACAATGTATGATCCTGTATGTGAACTAATAAGACTTTTTTGATAAACAACTCGCAATTATTTTCTATTTTTTGCCAACAATTTCAACATTTTGTTGACTTCTTCACCTTACATATTCAACCGCAATCACCCTGTAAGTACGAAATATTTTTGGCTGCCCTCAAATAGTACAAGGGGTATATTTCTAATCCAACACAGTGTGTCAAAATATTTATTATACAGTATTTCTCTGAAACATATCTACTTATGTCAGTATATTTATTGTTTAAAATTCATATATTGGGTACATATTAAGTTATATTTGGAAAACTAATTATAGGATCTAATTTTACCAATAAGAATTTCGAACAAATACATCAATATACAATACAAAATATTGAGAGACTTTGACGGTGATATTTTTTTTTTTTTTTTCGGTATTTCAGCTATTTTTGAAAACACCTACTTTGACTAAAAAGGATCTGCGGAATTATTAATCACCCTGTAAGTGACAATATTTTAATTATAGTAGTTAAGTATGTATTGTTAGAAAACGAAGGGGGTATAAATATTAATTACAATTAAAAATCCAAATATTAGTAAACACCACTATAATCGTATGAATATTGAATACAAAAACACATGTAATGACGTAGCGAGTGGCCAGTAAGTCTGCGCAGAGAGATCGACCACGTTGATTGTACTTTTCAGAATGCCCTGTGAAACACCAACATGATGCCGACGAAAAAGGTCGGGGTATTTACGCATCGTCATCAACACGTGCTTATCTCCCTGACCAGAGGCGACTCTAGGTAAAATTGCTAACACGGCCAATTCTGACGCTAGTGACGTTCTCGGCACTACTGTGTCAATTGAACATCTTCTGAAAAATAAATTTATATGTGGAGACCACAGCCACCACCCGGCTCAACCACTGACGGGACTGAGACCGATAAATATAAGCGATAAAAATAAAGAAAAACATGTGAGACCGCAGCCACCACCCGGCTCAACCACTGACGGGACTGAGACCGATAAATATAAGCAATAATAATAAAAAAAACGTGAGATCGCAATCACCACATCCGGCTCAACCACTGACGGGACTGAGACCGATAAATATAAGAAATAAAAATAAAAAAACATGTGAGACCGCAGTCACCACATCCGGCTCAACCACTGACGGGACTGAGACCGATAAATATAAGCAATAAAAATTAAAAAAATATGTGAGACCGAAGTCACCACATCCGGCTCAACCACTGACGGGACTGAGACCGATAAATATAAGCAAAAAAAAAAAAACATGTGAGATCGCAATCACCACATCCGGCTCAACCACTGACGGAACTGAGACCGATAAATATAAGAAATAAAAATAAAAAACATGTGAGACCGCAGTCACCACATCCGGCTCAACCACTGACGGGACTGAGACCGATAAATATAAGTAATAAAAATTAAAAAAAACATGTGAGACCGCAGTCACCACATCCGGCTCAACCACTGACGGGACTGAGACCGATAAATATAAGCAATAAAAATAAAAAACATGTGAGACCGCAGTCACCACATCCGGCTCAACCACTGACGGGACTGAGACCGATAAATATAAGCAATAAAAAATTAAAAAACATGTGAGACCGCAGCCCCCACATCCGGTTCAACCACTGACGGGACTGAGACCGATAAATATAAGAAATAAAAATAAAAAACATGTGAGACCGCAGTCACCACATCCGGCTCAACCACTGACGGGACTGAGACCGATAAATATAAGCAATAAAAATTAAAAAAACATGTGAGGACCGCAGCCACCACCCGGCTCAACCACTGACGGAACTGAGACCGATAAATATAAGAAATAAAAATAAAAAACATGTGAGACCGCAGTCACCACATCCGGCTCAACCACTGACGGGACTGAGACCGATAAATATAAGTAATAAAAATTAAAAAAACATGTGAGACCGCAGTCACCACATTCGGCTCAACCACTGACGGGACTGAGACCGATAAATATAAGCAATAAAAATAAAAAACATGTGAGACCGCAGTCACCACATCCGGCTCAACCACTGACGGGACTGAGACCGATAAATATAAGAAATAAAAATAAAAAACATGTGAGACCGCAGTCACCACATCCGGCTCAACCACTGACGGGACTGAGACCGATAAATATAAGTAATAAAAATTAAAAAAACATGTGAGACCGCAGTCACCACATCCGGCTCAACCACTGACGGGACTGAGACCGATAAATATAAGCAATAAAAATAAAAAACATGTGAGACCGCAGTCACCACATCCGGCTCAACCACTGACGGGACCGAGACCGATAAATATAAGCAATAAAAATTAAAAAAACATGTGAGACCGCAGCCACCACATCCGGCTCAACCACTGACGGGACTGAGACCGATAAATTAGTATTATAAACATTAAAACATATCGGGGATATGAACTTTCAATTCCCAAAAGTAACTGTAACGTATGTTTAATTTTTTTAAAACAAGCTGAATCTTCCATGGACCGTTCGGCCATTCTGATTTTATTTACTTTTCCATTCTTCACAGTTTTTGATAGTTCTCTAAAGTGAACACTGTACCAGCATGCACAACTTTTTTTTTTTTTTTACGAAAACCACAGGGCTACTTAGACGAATACTCAGGTTAGCCACCAAATTTTTTGTAATGTCCCTCCTATAGTACAGCTTCTGTTTCACTTGGAGCAACTCGGTGGAGCATGATTCACAACAATGCCTTTTTCCAACTTTATTTTCTTTAACTAAGATTATTAACCACTCTTATTTTATTACCACTTGTTATATGCTTCCGAAATCTTAAAAAACTTTCTCAAATACCTCGTAGGACTCTGGGACGGAACTTTAACTTCATCTAATTATATGTGAAAACTTTCAAAAATTCGCTTAATTCCATGTAATTTACGTCGTTCAATACGAGAACCTTGAAGATCTGTTATTGTCATTAGAGCTTGGTCTTCAAATAAATCACGACCAATAATTACATCATAATCCAGAATACTCTCACAAACAAATATGTAAATGACAGAAATATCAACGTCATAAATTTTTGTACACCCTGTACATTTATTTTTGCACTTATCATGACATTTTTTTGTAATACTCTTTAGCAGAATTTTACAAATAAATACTTCATTTTTAAATCAATCTAAACATTTTTTCAACATTAACGATAAATATCTCTACAAGACCCTAAATTAGATGCCCTTCAATTTCAAATTTCTGTTGTATTTGCAAGTTTATCAGCTAGACAAAAATTAATGTTTCGGCGTTTGTCAATAGCAACTTTTGTAAAACAATTTAAAATCGTATTTTGTCAATAGCAGCTTTTGTAAAACAATTTAAAATCGTATGTCCACATTTAGCGCAAATAGAGCAACCATCATCATTCTCGTTTTCAGATTTTGTTTACTGTATGAAGCAGCTGCGTCGGGTCTTGGACTCTTCACATTTCTTTGACAAACGGCTATTAATGGCAGAATATTTATCAACATACAAGTGTTTTCTCAGATTAGGTGACTTAACATCTGCTTTTTAAATTCCATTTAGCAAAAGATAACAAAAATAGTAAAAATTCTTTAATTGTCCGACAATTTCATTGCCATTATTATCTAATTTAGAAATACTGTGAATAATTAATTATACTACGTCACTTTTATTCCAATTAGCTCGTAAACTTATCATCGCAGATTTTTCATGAACGTTACGTTTCGGTGGAAATGGCTCAGTAAACTCCGTCTTAAAAGTAATCAATTTTTAATATTTGGTTTCACTGATCATATCAAATATTCGTTCAGTAAAAATCAACCAACTCTGCCTAATATTTTCACGTCATATCATCTTATACTTTATAATTTTAATACCACTCACCCATTTGTTGGATTCACTTAACTCAGGTCGAAAATATCACAAATTTACCTGCTCAGTTGATGCCTGTAACGCAGTAACTAACTCTGATAACAATATCTGAGTACCACTTTCACTATTTTTTAAAATCCATTTTTTTTTCTATTGTTCTACACCTAAGAAATAGCACAATAATTATTTTAAATAACTGTTCACCAAAAAGTCATTAACGGTAATTAATTAATAACAATGCATCAACAACAGCGTGAGTCATGAGTCCTATCGCACTTCTGATGTTAGAAAACGAAGGGGGTATAAATATTAATTACAATTAAAAATCCAAATATTAGTAAACACCACTATAATCGTATGAATATTGAATACAAAAACACATGTAATGACGTAGCGAGTGGCCAGTAAGTCTGCGCAGAGAGATCGACCACGTTGATTGTACTTTTCAGAATGCCCTGTGAAACACCAACATGATGCCGACGAAAAAGGTCGGGGTATTTACGCATCGTCATCAACACGTGCTTATCTCCCTGACCAGAGGCGACTCTAGGTAAAATTGCTAACAGTATTTTGACTATACAGAATGAGCAAATAAATAAAAATATTTAAGGGTGAATTATGGTGTCCATTTTAAAGAATTAGGGATTTCAAAATTCAACACCCTGTATCTTAATATCTAGTCATATGATACGATTAGGCCCATGGACACTTTTGATGGGGACATCAAGTAATTTAACATATCAAAAATTCAGATATTTTGACGCTATACTCCCGTTTGCATAAGAAAAGTGCGTGGTCCTTTATTAGAATTTTATTTTAAATTTATTTATTTATAAAGAATTAGGAGCTATTTTGAATAGTAATGCATGTGCCTACTCGTTAGAATTACCGTTTTGATAAAAAGCTGGAGTCTATACCGCTCCTTTGCTACTGAATGCATGCGTATAACGTGGATGACAGCATCTCATAAAACTCTTAATGACACCACGATTCGTGTGCTTTTCAAAATTGCTCTTTATTCTGCCGCACTCTGTACATTTCACCTGAAACCCAGCATATTAAACTGTTTTAGGCACTATTATAAAAACAAAATCGGGCAAGCGATTTCCTCTTAACGTAGAGGATTGGATACTTAACTACGATGACATACCCCTACAATTAAGCAAACTGCATCAGGATAACTTTAAAATAGTATTTTTTACAAACCAGTCAGGTGTGGGTAAAGATTCGTCTAAAATTAGAGATTTTAAAAGAAAAATCGAAAATATATTAAAGAAACTTTTACTGCCTGTTCAAGTTTACATTGCTTTGGGAAAAAGTAAATATCGAAAACCAATGACTGGCATGTGGGATACTTTAAAAAATCAAAAAAATGATGACATCGAAATTGATTTAAACGAATCATTTTATGTTGGCGATGCTGCAGGAAGACAAAAAAATTGGATACCTAAGAAAAATAAAGACCATTCCATTGCAGACAGACTGTTTGCGTTAAATATTGGTTTGAAATTTTTTACACCTGAAGAATATTTTAGAAAACAAAGACCTGTTACCTTTTTAATGCCAGAGTTTGATCCTCGAAATCTTCCCGTTTTAGATATTCCAGAAATACATTATGAATCTCCTAATATTATTGTAATGGTAGGATGTCCAGGTTCTGGAAAAAGTAATATCTGTAAATCCTTAATTATTCCCAAGGGTTACATCCATATTAATAGAGACAGTTTAGGAAGCTGGCAAAAGTGCGCAAAATTATTAGAGGAAACTATACAGGAGAAGAAAAATTGCGTTATAGATAATACAAATTGTGATAAAGAAAGTAGAAAAAGATACCTAGAAATAGCCAAAAAATACCAAATTCCTTGTAGATGTTTTGTAATGACCACATCGCATCAACACTGCAAGCATAATAACAAATTCCGTGAATTAACTGATAAATCACATGTGCCCGTTAGTGAAATAATTATTAATAGTTTGAAGAAGAACTACCAGAAGCCTGAGCTATCCGAAGGATTTGATGATATTGTAGAGATTCCATTTGTACCTTCATTCAAAGACGAAGAACATGAAAAATTATATAAGATGTTTTTGTTGGAGAATTAAAAATTATAATAAAAATTAGTCCTAAAGACTTTAAAACGGAATTATATTTTTATCTTGACTAAAGAAAACATACTTTTGAATTAGTTTTATGAAATCCAAAATTTACCAGCCAAATATTTTAAACAATACTCCTTCCAATTTTAAATTGTACCTTGTATTTTTTTATAATTAAATACGCTTTTTGATTAGATATATTTTTTATTTACCTAAGGACGGGGTATCACTGTATAAAAACCGTATGTGTAAAACAAAAGTTTAATTGACTGATTTCCGAATAGATGGTATTTAAAAATCAAATTTTTGGTCAAATTAAAGATAAAGGTCTAACTTACTTACTATTGAAAATTTATGAATTTATTATTTTAAAACAACCCCATTTAATTTCATCCCAAAGGTGCCGTTTTAAAATTATTTTAACCTTGATTTTAAATAAAAATAAACATTAAGACGACCTAAATTTAATCTTTTCCAACGATGTGATTTCTTCTGGATGTAGAAATACTGTATATTTGATCTTGCAAGTCATTCTCTTTAAGACAGGTTAAAGTGATATTTGTACCTAACTTATGCTAGAAATTTTTTTTTATGTCTAGCTAAACTTTCAATAAGTGAGTAGTTTCGGGGTCGATATTTCTACCATAATGAAAATGAAGTGAATTGTCAACAGTACGAAAAGCGTTATTGTACATGTTTGATTGCACTTTAAATAACCCAAAAAACTACTTTATGGTTTTTATACGAATTTAATGTAATAGAAACTAACAGAAATGAACCTTTTGCCGGTCAACGTTGCACCATCCGCTTCAATTATGTACAATCTCAAGTGCCCTATGCCTTTTTGAACAAAGCGCAAAGAATAAGCCATGTGTGCGGCGTTGCCTGTTTTAAAATAAAGTCTAAAACAATAAGACTTAACAGTACATATGTAAAAAGTTGCTTGTTTTCCTTTTCTAATGATAGAATAAACAGTGTGCTATTTGTCAGTGTTTAATTTATAGACAACGAATTTCCCTTCCAAGGCTGAATTACAGTTTTTACCAGTCCAGGGTAATCCGAATGATGAAACCATATTCTGCCAAATAAACATACATCATACACATTCTTGTCGCTTATTATTTAGGAAATTTTTGAATAACATCAACACAAAATATGCTTTTGATAATTTATTTCACTTTATATGCCAAATAACCTCTTCCTATCAATAATTAATTATTCTAAAGTACAAAAAAATCAAGTTTATACATCTAATAAAAATTTTATAGAATCTTCACATAATCCATTACAGATTAGTTTACACTTATCACAATCATTAGGTACAAAAACAATCTCAACTTTAAAATAAGTACTCATTACTTAGACTATTTTTTCTTTTAAGTGTCATTTACGTATTTTAAAAATAATAATAATTATGTAAAAAGTCCTAAGTCGCTTTGTTTGAAGTAATCGTTTAAAAAATCTGTAATATTGAGTATTTTCTAAATCTAAAAAAAATAATACAATATTTTAAATAAATCTCTATACATATAAACAAATGTTTTAAGTTTCTTTTTTTACTTCTTAAGTAGATATATTCTTCTGATACGTTTATTTTGATGAACGACAAAGTTAATATATTGGAATGTAATCAAACACTTCTAAGTTGAATACTGGTACGCCTCTGAAAAACGTAAGGTCAAGTGTTTTTACTTTTTTCCTTCCTAAACTGAGGTATCCTGTCTAGCAGAGCATATAAAATATTTCCAGGAATTCGTTGATGTTTCTTGATGAGATCTTCAATGGCCAAAGAAACCTGAAAATATAGGAACACATTTATAAATAAAAAGATAAAACTACAAAATCAACACTTATAATTATAACAATTCTTCCATGTATATTATTCGACAAGCATATCATAATGATAGCTTTTTATTCATGAAAATGAAGTTTATGACACGGGCAGTACTTAAATCTTTTTTAACAGCGAATAGAATAACTTTTTTAAATGCCATTGTTTCAGATATTCAAAAATTCCCGATAGTGACCCTACAAAATTGTTCAGTTACTTAGTGCGATCCTGTAAATGCTTCAAAAAAATGTATTTCAGTACTCATCTGTTTTTAATCAAAATACAATTTTTTTAGATAATTATTGATAGAGAAATACGAATCTTCCGTGTTGCCTACCAAAATATAGCCGCAAGTACTTTTAATAGTAATTTTTTTCTACTTTAAGGTATATTTCTGTTATTTAAAATTATAGAATTCTTGCAGCAAACATTGTTAGTGATGTTATTCTCTATAATTTTGGTTATAAACATTTCTCTAAAATGGACCGTAACGGAGAAATTTGAGGAAAAGTGCAAATATACAGTTCATCAAATTTCTAGAGGCTTTCGACGGCTAGACAGAGAAAGCACTACTGACAGGCATCCCGACGGATTTACGCAATGAAAGTACACTCTGCGCATCAAGTATTTCACTATTTCATTCAGACATAAATGTCAGATGTAAATTTCGCTAAAACATTTCTTTTATTTTCGTTTGTGTTTTTTGCTCATTACAGTTTAATAGAACCTAAGTATGGAGTTTAATAGCAAATTAAGAGGCCGCGTGATTAACAGTCAATCTCGCGAAATAATAGCCAATGTTATAGAGTTTATGAGAAGAGAAGGAAACTTTAATTCACCTTCAATACCATTTAAAAATGTAAATGATCGTGTTGCTGCAGCCACAGGAGTATCTAAAAACACTGTCGTCCGCATTTCTGGAGAGAAAAAAAGAATCGATAACCGTGAGATATCGGAATTTTCATCACCAAGAAAAACCATTAAAAAACCAAAAACAGTTAATGATATAGATGAAGCTGCACAAGAATCAAATTTTATTTTTTTATTATTAGATAGCTATTTTTGTTTCTGAGTTGTGTTCATTTACAGGCTCAATTTTTTTCCGTTTCTCCTTTTTGATTTTATATGGGGTTTCAAGTTGTTTTTGACTTATTTCGACGTAAATCACAACAACACACTTTTTTAATAAAGCAAACAAGTGTTAAGAGGTATATGTACGTATAAACTACAATTACAAAAAATTGATATGAAACCCATGAAACCACCAACAAAAATGTAAAGATAGCTTCCGTACTAGAACATGGTGTCATTCGTCGAGATAATTTATCGTTTTGTTTAATAGATCAAGAAATGTAAATATTCCCCTGTTATTTTTTATAAAATTATAAGAGAAATAAATTTTTTTCTAAATAGTATAGTTTATTATTTTGTAGAAAAACAAAATTTCGAAAATTTTAGTAATGTTTCAGAAACAACCGTTATTAATAATAGGTACCATTTTCCTTAATAAGGTAGAAATAAAATATAAACTATTTCCACGATTTACAAAGGCCTACAAAAAAATTATAAGTATTTTCCGCTATCCTATAAAATTTATATTTTCTGACTCAATTTCAAAAGGTTGAAGGAATTCCAAAACACCTTTTATGGCATAATAATTATTTTCAATTCTACATACTATCTTTAGCTGCTTTTAAAAACGTTCTAAGAAAGTCCAATCAGACCAATTTAATCCCTAAACTATTCCACACTTTTAAAATTTAATTACCTAAAAATATTAAAAACTATTTAAAATAACTTGTTTAGCAGACTGTACAATAGCTATCTTAGTCACACGTAGCGCGTTCTCTGTCTGGGCGTCGAACACCTCTAGAAATTTGATGAACTGTAGTAATGTATGGATAGTCCGAACCCACCTTAATCCGAAATACTCTATAATCCGAACGCTCCAATTGCGTAAAATGATATCCATAATCTGAACACCAGTGTTGCCAACCGTAAATAACGGAATTACCCCCAAATCTAATTAAAATGCTCCATTTTCCTCACAATGGCAACAAAATCATCACAAATTCCTCACACAGGTTTAGAAACACAATTTAGATTCAAATCCATAAAAATAAGAAAATTTATAGTTTTTTGTAGACAGTAGACAAACAATTTAGTTCGTCAACAAAATATCACGATATCTTATAGTGAAGAAATACAATTAAATGTATCTATAAACCGAACGTGTTCGGATTATACATATAATTTATTTTGAATTCTATAATCCGAAAGTTTTGATAAACCGAACGGGTTCTGCCAACTTTCTGTTTGGATTATCTATACATTACTGTATTCCTGTTATCAAAATATTGAGTATGGCCCATCTAATCAAAAAGTATTTAGAACATAAGTTGTAGATAAAAACATTATTTCATAATTTAAATGCCAAAGAAAATACTAAAAATTCAAATATTGCACTTTTTCTCAAATTTCTCCATTACGGTCCATTTTAGAGAAATCATCTATATGACTAAAATGATAAAACATCACAAACAGCTTTAGTTGAAAGAATTTTCTTTTATAATCACAAGCATCGGAAATATTTCTTAAAATAGAAAAAACCGTCGTGCTATATTTTGATAGGCAACCTGTCAAAGTCGTATTTCTCTATCAATAAATATCTATTGTAATTTATAACCACCGTAACGTAACTTAACTTAACGCCGTAGAAACTTAACCTAAGATATAAAAATAAAGTCTATTTATAAATGTCCGTAACGTAAGAGTTGAGCATGCGTGTTGATTTCAGAGATTATCAAATTACTGACAACCTTATGAAATAAACAAGTGTAAACTATGTGTACCTAACCTCTAAATAAAACTTATAAATTATGATTTTGCTGTATAGAAAGAAAATATTAACTACTTTAAAAGCAATAGTATAAAAATATAATAAAACAGAATAGTTTACCGAAGATTTTGATTGTTTTTGAGCAATAATGAGAATTTAATATTTCCTAGCAAACTAGTTTTGTGTCTATTTCAGTTCTAGACTTGATGTTTAATTATAGGTATATGTAGTAACACTCATATCTCATAAATAGTTTATCCCCAATAACATAAACACAAATCATTCATGATGTATGTCCATCAAAAAGGAGAATGATAGTTTACAAATGGTATGTCTATTAATTTATAAAAAAATAAAAAGAGAATAATTGACAGTTATCACATGCTGAACTCTGAATTATCTCATTGGCTAACCGTAAGGTCTTGTCTTAAGTTAAGTTGTTAAGTTAAAAGTTGGCGAACTTTCTACGGTACGTTAAGTTCTTAAGTTACGTTACGAACTTTATAAATAAGAATACGTAAATTCAATATTTTAACTTCTTACGTTAAGTTCTTAAGTTACGTTACGGCGGTTATAAATTAAGCTTTATACTTAACTGTAATTTATTTAAAAAACAGATGAGTGCAGAAATCATACGGCCAGATCTTAGACCATAAATATCTATTAAAAACTTAAGGACCAAAAAAAATCATGATTGCTATACTTTTTTTCCTCGATAGTTACTGGAAAATATATTATTTATGAAAATTAAACCAAATATCTTTCACTTTTACGAAAAATGTTCTATTTTTATTACTACAAACGAAGTACGCCCTTCCTTTAACCCAGCCATAATCAACCTGCGGACCGCCAAGCTTCTATGTGCGGCCCGAAACACTATTATTAAGAAGGTGAAGATTTAAAATCTTCAGCGAGATGAGTGAAAACATGCATCGATCGCTGCGCAAATATCACGCCAATTTTTTAATAAAAGTTTGGATATATTTAGGTTTTATTTATAACAGCAGTGAAATTCTCATGTTTCGTACTCGAGACGTGTTGTAACGAGAAAGATTTTGCGATTCCTATCTCGGATATCGAGAAGGGATATATATCGATCTTAAATGTCAGTGTCACTCGCTTCATCTTTAGGTGCTGGGAATCGATTTTTAACCTGAAATCTTGTAATTTTGTGTCAATAATATCAATAGATAATTATTTAATTTTCGTTTTTATAAAATAATATGAGGAGTATGAAAAACTGTTTCCTCCCAAGATGTGATAATGATTTACATTTATTATTAAATATATTTATTAGTGTTGCCAAAAATATGAAAAGAAGGAAGTTATTATTATTATTACACAGAAAAGCTTCAAGCAACAGCTAAATTATTTTAAGGTTTGTATAGTATCTATACTCTTTATTAAAATGAAAATGTTTTATTGTAATTTATTAGACTTCAATTATCTACCATTGTAGTAACGATGTTTTTTTTTTTTTTTTTTTAGATACGGGATGATTTTGAAAACTGTTCATTTTTTAAATGATGGATAAACCTTTATATATAAATGGGTAGTACCACACAAATGTCTGCAAAGTTCTTGTTATTCACCACACCTCACTGATTCTACCAAAAACAGAAAAAATGTTTCTAAAAAGTTGACTGGAAAATAACCTACTAGAGGCGTTTTATCTCTATTTAATAAAAATACACCGGATCTTCAAGATGCAGTAGTAATTTGTGACATTGCCCCTTCAGGAAATTTAAAATGGGCCTACTATAAGTTCGAAGGTGTATAACCTAAAACCCTCCTTCGGAACCTCCTGAAAGTTTTGAAGATAGTAAAGTTTTGTCTGAATCAGAAGAAACATCTTTAATATTTGATTCAGAGGGATTTAATAATAATAAGCAGGTTATTCAAGACCATTGAACTCTCAAAATAAATGAAAATAAACTGAAGGTATATTTAGGATTGCCCAACAGTGTTTCTAAAATCCTCAATCATATTTATGAGAAGGAAAGTATAGCTTACATAAACCATTTACGTTTCTATGTAAATTAAAAGAACTCATTTTGTAAGACTAAATACTTAATAATTTAATGAATTTATCAAATTATTTCAGGGATTATAATAAATGTATACAAACAAAAATGTAAAATCTATGAAAATTTTATTTATTAACCTATTATTAAATAATAAATGTACCTGAATAAGATAAACGAAGTAACAAACACTTTATTTACAAATAATAAAAAATATATACAAGCCCTAACAATAATGTAGTTGAACAAATTAAATGTTTCTAAAAATTCATTATCAAATTCAACTTGTTATCTACCTCAGCATTATTTACTTCAAATGTGGGAGAAACAGTGCAAAATACTTTATGTTCATGTGTAATTATTCCGTTTACTGTGCAACCAGCCAGCCTAACAGATAGAACATAATGCTTATGTAAGTAAATAATTTTAAGTAGTTATATTTAGTTTTTGTGTAGTCAGTAAAGACTATGTGATTGCAGAAGCAATATTAGTTGTTTTTATTTGTTAAATAAATCACAGTTATTTGTTTTACGCTTGTTTCAATTTTCTTTGGTTTATGAAAACTTACGATCATTCAAAGGCGGGGGTATTGGCTTAATCCAATCTCTGAGAGAGGGAGAGAGAGAAAACTGCCAAAGGGAATAGTTCCTGTAGGGCAAACCCTCTCTCCGTCCTCTGAATCATCGTCAGGAAGTTAGGGTTCCTTCTGAACTTAACCCCCTAGCCGTGTGTTGTCTAGAGGCAATTTAAATACAAATTGGGCCCCTCTATATAACCCGTGGTTACCGCTAAGAGTGGACTTAAGGGTCAGTCAAAAGGCCTATAATCTCACTCTTAACAATATCTCACATGTGAACATGGCCCATTTTTGTGATCAGTTTCTTGTTCAGCAAATTTACAAAAAAGCAGTGATCAGCAGAGGTATGAGTTCTCTATATTACCAGCATGATAACCAGTTTTTAAAAATATAACATTAAGTAATGTTTTTCAAATTTTGGTTACTCTGGTAGGTTTAGATATATTATAAATAAAGTTTCCAAAAGTGATGGTTAATGTAAATTTTACACTATTTTAATTTTTAAACTCTAATAAATCAACACATGGTAAAACTTTATTTTTTACTATTTTCACTTGTACACTAACTACTGTCAACACTTTTTATTAACTGCAAAATATTAATTTGCATCTTCTATGTCTTGTTCAGGAGGAGTTACTAGTTTATCTTGAAATAAATCACTTTCATTAACTAACCCTTATTGTGTGTTCTAATTATTACATTCAAACTGATTAGGAATTTTTTAAATTTTGAGTTATTTTTATTAGTCTTTGTTAGATTTTGAAGTAGATGGAACAGAGTCATAAGAATGTTCCTAACAATTGGCAGTTTTAAAGGAGAGTTTCTTTTTATTTGAGATGTGGCAGCTGCAACATAAAAAAAATTAAATAAACATTAAATGAAAAATATACCTAGGTATTACCTTTATAAGTACCTATAAATCTTTAAAATGCTGAGAACAAAATTTCCTTTCATAAATTTTACTTCCCTATTTTCAAGTTTTGAAGCATACTCTTCTTGCATCCACAAGTTCAGATTTTCCACTTTTATATTACAAAATTACCTTACATCTACCGGTTTTAGGAAACCGATGAAATGTAACAGAATGCCATTTTTTTCATGAAATAATTATACAAGGATTGGATTGAGGCCACGGTATTGAGGCAAACAAGTGTCTTCCACTCATTTTACTGTATTTTAAAATAACAATATGTATTCTACTAAACGTCTAATTTAATGGAGATAACAAAAATTTTATACATTAGCTTAATATTATTAAATAAAATATTTCAAACGAAACATTTTCTAACCAAAAACACCATTTAATGACATAACAACAACCAAGAAACATAAAACGCCAACGCGAAGGCAGCCCTATTTTCACGTCTAGATCGATACCCAACTCCATTTAACATAAGATTCGATTATTTTCTAGCGAATAGTGAGCTTCTCGGGATATCCCGAGTACGAAAGATGAGAATCCCATTGCAGGTCTCCACTAACTAATTTTACATGAATGACCTAAAAACAGCTCATCATCCAAGAATGTTACGGACCGTGTAACATAAGAAACATAATATGTAAACCGAAGGAAAAAAGGTTAATATAGCTGCTTTAATCGAGTGTTATTAAACTGAGTTTTAATTTGTTCTATTTTCTACAGTGCTACTATCTCAATCTTCTCTTCAAAATAACGTGTAAACAGGTTTTTTTTTTTTTTTTCGTAAAATTAATATTATTTACCTTAGTTTGCAATTGTTCTGGTGTTAAATTTTCATCATAAGGAATAGGTTTCCCTAAATGCGTGATCATTTTAACAGGAAAACCACCATAAATGGGAGCTATTGGAAATTTCAGTAGAGCATACAAGCGAAGAAACAGTCTCCGTCCGAAACTAACTGTTCTAAATGCTTCTCGTAGATTTTCGGTGAACATAGGAATTATTGGCTAAAAAAAGATATAATTCAATAATACTAAAAAGAAAATAAACACACCAATCTCGCGGATAGCCCCTCCGATATGCAGGAATCCATAAATTGTATTTCATAATTAGAATGTCTACTTATTAAGAATATTAAACTTACAACTTTAGCATCCAAAGCCACCTTTGCAAATCCAAGCCTTTTTTTCCACATTAAGTTATAGTGCAGACTAAATTGAGCTTCATATACGCCACCCGGCGAAATCGCAAGAATATTTCCATCTTTTAATAGATTCGAACAAGTTTGTACAGTTCCTGGAATCACTCTCATACACTCCGCTAATACACTGAACCCTAAAAAATCAGACGAGATTTAATAAAAATGTAGCATATTTAAAAAGTGGCCACTCTGTATACACATTCAATATCCAGTGACCTAATACTTTCAAGTTAAGTGGCAATTAGGATTGTATTAAACAAAAATACCTATAAATTGTAAAAAAATTAAAATTATTTGAATACAAAAAAGTTTCAATCAATAATTTTTATGATCATGATCTAATTATTTACATTATTCTTAAAGATCATATAAAATGTATAACATTTTACCTGGTACCTTGAATAAAAAGTGATCTGCTACAGTGTGCACCAGTCTGTTTTTGGCAAATAGTACCTTTACTATAAAGTAATAAATATCTACAGGAATTGCACCATGGTAATAAATTAATAAAGCAGGACCGTCCTTTGGCAGATTTTCTATACCATTTATTTCATAATCTAAAAAAATAAAGAATTTATTAATACAAACATATGGTGTCCCATAATGAGTAAAATGTTGATAGATTAAATTACTAATAAAATTTGCTTTCATAAGAGGCGTTACACTCATTTATTTTTTTAGTCGCAAGAGAGAGTTAAGAACAAAGGTCTGGGATATTTATACTCATATGGTTGAATTTTCTATAAAATTAGTTTTAATAAAATGCCACCTCCATGGTACCTCTCCTCTCTAACCTATCTAAACAGTTGAGTATAGGATATAAAAGCGTCCTTCTTTGGTTAACAAACAAGGAAGTGTTTTAGCATTTATTTTTCTGGAAGTAATTCAGTCTGTTACAGATTTTGCTGGCTCACCGTTTGTTGCATGAAGAAAACATGCAATTTTTATTTCAGTAATTTTTTGATAAAGTTACCTAATTTTCAAAGTAAAAGGCCTTGAACCGGGAAAGAATTATCACGCATGTCTCATGGAAAAATTGCGTCAGCCACATGATAAAAAAAGAAGACAAAATGTGGGATCTCGACACTGCAATGGATGTTGCAGTTGAACCATTGATTATCAACTTGAATAATAACAATGACGATTACAGTGTTCATAATCCGACGAGTTTTCTTCATACAAAACAAAAAAATAAATACAGTTGCCGGGTCCCCTTATACCGCTACCGCCCCCCCCCCTCTAGTCGGCACTGATCATCAGCAGTATCATCAACACATTTAGTTGTACAGGGTACTTACTATTTCATAGGGACAGTAATATTGATATTTCTTAAACGGTAACAGATAGAAAGTTGTGGTAAAATTACACAAAAGTTGTTTTATTCATGCCTATATTGTTTCTTGTCAAAAACGAACTAGAAGTAATAATAAACGACTATGGAAGTTACAGGATGACGAGGTCGTGAATTTGTAGTTTTTTAATTTCAAGAATCCACACTCCTTCAATTCCATTAAATGAATTTTAAGCCTCAACCTCGATCTCGCTCGTCCTGAGATAAAGAAATTAATTCCCGAGAATGTAGACGCATGATTGCAAAAAATGTTAAACATCATTTTGCATGATCATTCTACTAAGAAACTATAAATCAGGCAAAAAGTTTAGTGTACTAAATATGCAGACTATAAATTATAGTCCACCCAGGTTCTACTAGTATTCTAAAGAAGTAGTCTGCCCATAACTAACAATTATTTAAATTGTTCGTTCTAAATTAATTAAAAAAATTGCTTATGTTTATTTATTTATTTATTTTATATTTATTTATTTAATTTCTAGCTTCTAACATAATAAAATTTTAAATAGGCACCCTATTGGTGTCTATACAGTACAAATTGATCGAATTGAAACGTACTTTATACCTATTATATTGTTTTTTCAACTTTGAACTGTGTAAAAAAAGTCATATGCAGAATGTGTTCCATATTTTTTTTGATACCGTTGAATAATTTGTTTCATAAAAACAAATAATACATATTATTATTAAAAAAAAGCCACTAACCTTGGCAAAAATTCAATTTGCACATATAAACTACAGTAATAATTACAAGTAAAAAAGTATTAAGATGTTTATAAATCTTTTTAATTGCAGTTGAAAAAAATTAATGGAAATACCTAATTATTAGCTATAAAATTTTTGTTTTTGTTCGTTATGAAAACTAGGTCATATAAACAAAAAATTTAAATTATGGGAACAATAGACAACAATACGCTAATTGTTAACGAAACACATTTATTTTATTTTTTCCTAAATTCTGGTTTGAGTAACTGGTTTTATAAAACAACTAATCTATCAATCAATTTTAATTATATTGTTAAAATATTAGGTACCTATGCATAATCATGGCATAGGAAAAACCATATTTCCTTTATTTTCAAAATAGACGACAGTTTTAAGTCTGTATTACATTTTTGTAAATTAAAACTACCAACTTGAAGATGGAGAGGCCCAAGCACGGTTGAATTCAATAAAATTGTAGTTTTAACACAATAACAACCGCTCAAAATGTTTAAAAGTAAGTAACAAGTTATGTCCACTTACGAAAAGTTCTTTAAAACATCGTTAATAAAATATACAAGGAAATGTCATTAATTCGGTAGTAAATAAATGAAATACATGGTGTCCCAACGAAAAAACTAAGGAGTTTTGAATAAATACATGTAGACAAGTGAATTTAACGCATTTTCAGAACCGAGAATATCTATAGCTTACTGTTGAGTCACTTAATATTAAATTTAATCACGAATAACTTCTGTAACGTCTAATTTAGAGTAGTATATAAAAGAATAGAAAATTACCATGCCAAATCCATCCATGTGCGTCCCAAAGAGCACCGACAGTTTTACGAGCTGTATCCCATTTATCTCCAGTCTGCAAAGTTCTTTTGATAGTATTCCAATGTAATTTATAAATATAAAGGATAAAAGCGCTCAAATATAGGAATAGCCCTATTATTCCTGGTAAAAGGAACGTTATAATTAAAGGTGCTAAAAACCATGTTATCCACAATGAATAGTCGATGTCTACGTAGTTAACTGAAATAAAAAAAAAATATTAATAAAATTTTCTTAACATTATAATGTGGTTGTAAACATTTATATTAGTAAAAATGTACAGATGGTTAAATTGACAATTAGGAGGCTTTGGTAGAGCATATATATGTTAATGAACAACTACTGAACTAATAATTTTTTTTACAAAACCCGAATTATTGACCGGTATTATTGACTAAAATTATCAACTACGTCGGAAAAGTCAAGAGATTTTGCCAATTCATTCTCAATTGCTCCTTTGTCAAGTTTTTAAAGAGTTCACCAGTATAATAAAATCGTACACAAGTTTACTTGCAGTACACAGGTTAAAAAAAATGAAGGTTTTTTTTATATATTTATGGAGTTGAGAAACTATCAGATCCTTTTCTGATTGGAAAATTGTTCTATAGACGATCTTCATGTTTAGAATTTCTTCAATGAAGCTGTCTAAATCTGCTGACACATATTTTGAGACAAGACAAGTTAGTTTGTCATTTTCTAGGTCCATAAAAGCCAAAACTGGTGAAAACAAAACTTGTTTTCAAAGCGGCCATGACAAAGTTCAAAACTTAAGTTGTTCAGACGTCTTTTCATCTGCATTGGGTTTATTTTTGATAACAAACTCTGGTTAAATGCTAACTGCATCGGCAACTACTTTTTCGTCAATCAAAATGGTTTCCCATAAATATCAGAAGATCTGCATCTTATTAAGTGTCTTTAATTAGTTGCATATTGACATTTTTGCCAAGATGCATTTGAAAAATTAAAAGTACTACTCGCTGATGGAATTAATGTGGGTACCTCATCCACCAGGAGGTCTAAAGCTTTGAGGATCGAAGGATAGTGCTTCACAATCGGGCGCACATTTTGTAGTCTTTCACTCCAACGAGTTTGAGAAATACTTAAGACCGAAACCAGGGTATGGAACTACAAATGATTGTAATACATGTTTATTTAATACAGCGTCGTGTGGGATGCCAATGGGTGGATAAACTAGATCATATCTAAAACTTAAGTATTTTAGGAATCGTCTCTGAATTCGTTCCAATCGACCAATGTGTACAATGGAGTCCATCTAAGTGACGCGTATTCAAGCTTGGATCGGACAAAAGCATAATAGACACATTTTATGGTATCTACTTTCTTAAAATCACGATTGTTTCTGATTATGAATACAAATGTACGATTAGATGAGGATGCAATACTATCGACATGGTCAGTAAAAGAAAGTGCTGAATCAAACAGGACTCCTAAATCTGCAAGTTTTTTGGTCTGTTTAAGGGAGTTTCGTCAACAATATAGTGGTAAAAAGTTGGATCTGACTTTAAGTACGACATTACATTGCACTTGGCTGGGTTCAATTTTAAATTATTTCTATGGCACCATTCATTAACTTGTTTTAGATTTTCAGAAAGTCGCTCGCAGTCAGCAATACTATTTATGGAAGCATAAATTTTAAGGTCATCAGCATAAGTAGATAATTAACATTAATTACACTACCAATGTCATTTATAAAAATATTAAACAAGAGCGGGCCAAGATTCGACCCTTGAGGGACACCCGATGTGACAAGGTACTTAACAGACTTGAACCCTTGAGCTGAACGTATTGTGAACGGTTATACAAATATGATTTTAGTAAGTCAATAGGTAAGACTATCTGAAAGCCCAAAGGCAGACAGTTTTTTTACTAAAATTCCATGATCAAGTCTGTCAAATGCTTTAGTCATATCTGTATAAATAACATCAGTCTGAATACATTTATCGATATTTTCTGCTATAGAGAGAGATTCGTTACTGTTGATCGACCTTTCATAAATCCATGTTGTTGAGTGGATAACACATTACTTATATGTTGATAAATACTGCGTTCCAGTAATATTTCTAATACTTTACAAAAATTGCAAATAATAGAAATAGGTCGGTAGTTCCTAACGTCAGTTCGATTTCCATTTTTAAAAATCGGACATACTTCTCTTCCACATGGACGGAATAGTACTAGAACGGATGCAGATATTGATCAGGATTGTCAGAGGATAAGCCAGTACTTGGGCACAATTTTTCAAAATGAATGCAGGAATATGGTCGGGTCCCGTAGTACGCTTAGGTTTTATAGATTTTAATGCGTAAAGTACCTGGCTTTCGTCAAAGCTGTCAATATTTAAACAAGTTGATTAAAGTTCATTCACATCAACATGAGAAACTTTAGAATGAACGTATGACTTGCTAAAAAGAGCAGCAAAACTATTTAGTATATCAACAGGATTATCCAGTGTATTATTTTCATAGGTCATGTTATTAGCAACTTTACTAGAACTTTTTCTACTGTTGACGTAGGCCCAAAACTTATTAGAGTTAATAGATATGTCATTCTCTGCTTTTAAAAGATAATTTTCATGTGCTGTTTTAATCGCAATTTTAACTTCAGCTCTTATGCGCTTAAATTTTTCGAAAGCCCTGATATCATTGTCTTTTTTATATGAAGATAAAGATGATGATGAAGATGATGATAAAGATGATGATGATGAAGAAGATGATGATGAAGAAGATGAAAAAGACGAAAAAGAAGATTAAATCTGTTTTAAAAAACTACAAATTAAAAATTTTTGTAGTTAGTATTAATTAGGTATTATTTACTATATTTTTTATACTAACTGAAATAATCAATTATTCGACGTTTGTAGCAAGCCTGTAGTATTTAAAATGTTAATATTGTAAATTTTAAAGTTTTTAATAAAAAATACCGTTTTTATAACTCAGATTTTTGTACAGCTATAATTCAGATTTCGACCAGTGTGGGACGTGTTGTTTTAACAATTCCCAACAACCAGGGCTGCTAGAGAACAAAGAATAAGAACGTTCAACGTTTCCAATAAATGTCGGAACATCATGATTCAGTTTAACAGCATTAGCTGTAGCATCTTCTAAAATTTAATTATATAAAAAATATTCATTTCTGTTCTCAGTTGAAGACTATCTAATCGAAGATGTTATAAAAAACTTATATCGAAACAAGGTTTGGGTCCTAATTTTGATTTGCCATATCTTTCTCCAACTATAGAAGCTGCAGCGGAGCAGCACATTCTTAAAATAGATCTTCAAATTCAGTTTTGGAAAGGTAATAATTTAAATCTAGAAGAGTGAGGTTGGTATCAATATTATCCAATCAATAGTAGTAAGTCCTCAGGACCAGATCATTTAATAACTAAAAAAATCAACCGCTGTAGCATTTGAAATGGTTTTTAAAAATGTTCGTTAATTATACGATGTATTACAATATAATAATCACTTTTAGAACAAAAATAATGATTATAACTACTAATGTGAAATTCGTTTAAAAATTCTAATTAATTATGTAGTCTTTATGTATACAATTGTTGGATTTTTGTAAAAGTCCTTGAAATTAATATTGAATTTAACTTTTGATGTAATATGGATCTAGGGAATTATCATTGATCAATGAGTAATTTTATTTTAACCTAATTTTTTAAAATTCTCAGGAGAGATAGACGCATTTTTTACAAACTGCAAAATTGCATCCAATATTTTGTATGTAGTATAATGCTTCAAACTGTTATGGCGGTTTCTAAGCCGTTATTAAATTTAATCTGTGAGTTAAATTTTCACTAGTAATACCACTAGAGGTCAAAAAATTTCCTGATATTAATTTGACCTCGCGTGGTATTCGGTAAGAAAATTCCACGCCGAATTATGGTTGAAAATTAAATATTTTTAAAATTTATTTTTCGTTTCTCAACAATGCAAATTATTTTCCCCAAGTCACCAGTGAAACATAAAAGGTGTTGTCGCCTTGATTGTTGAGTTGTCATGGTAACTAAGTGAGACCCTAACCTCGAATATAATTTCAGTTTTGAAGTTGTCAAGCGGCCCGACGTAAAAAAATGTTTCGCTGCAATTATTTAGGCCTTCAAATTGCTTATTTCTACTCATTGTAGTTGCATGGGAATACCATTTGAAAATAGAAAATAGTATATTCTTTAATTTTACGTAAGTTTTGAATAACTACAAGTGGTAGAAAATTGTTTTTCTGCGTTTTTATTAACATGCGTTATGAGCGCTTTAAAATGGTATGAAATTCATAACCAGCGTCAGCAAGCATCAATCGTAGGAGGCTGTGATCATTGTATTTTGACAGTTCAAAACATTAAATAACTCGCGTTTTGTTGCGATAAAGAATATTGCACAGCAAGTAAAACCAACAAAATTACCTATTTGTTTAAAAATGAATCGATTTGAAAATCATACGCTATGCAAAATATGCGTGAAACTGTCTGATGTAATGATCAATCATTGCACCATGACTTACTTACTCGGATTAATAGAGGATTGTGGCTCCAACTTGAAAAACGAAAATTTGTTCCGAATTGTCCACGAATATTTGCACCTAAACTACGCAAAATTCAAAGTGCTGAATGGGAAAAAGGTGAATAAATTAGTGTCTAAATATTATATATATTTTATTATTAGACATAGACACATAATTCAAAGCATCCAAAGTCCTGCATTTTCGCCATTAAGAAGAAAAGAAGTGGCCGAAGAATATAGAAAACACCTTAGCATTGTAACTAAAATGTATCAAAACTAAACCTATTATGTGAACAAATAAAAACCAGTCTTTCAAAAATGGTCTGTTATTGTAAACGTCAAAAAATTTCCAGTATAATTCGCTGTTGGGTACCCCACGAGAAAAAAATTTCCACTAAAATACCTCCGTTGCCATGGTGATCTGTCAAAAACACGTATTTTGATTGGTTCAAAATTACAGGTGTGGAATTTTCAACTATACATGAAATAATTTTCTCAACATTGCGCCTGAGTTGTCACAAACTGTTACAGAAATACACCATAAATTAGTACGTGATTAAAAATATGAGTTACTTAAATTTAGAACATAGACATTCATTCATTTCTGCGCGTTACTATAGTAACGATATAATATACAAATGTTATAAAACACCAAAAATAACCGACGTTCAATACTAG